ACTAGGTAAAGCAACAGTATAAATATCCTGCACTCAAGACACAATTCAAAGGTGCCCATAACTTGTTCTATGCACCTCAGCGTAGACAACTCCTTTGTTTATGTGCAGCGAAGGAATCAAAGACAAAGAACTCATTTTTCTCCCAGTGCAAACACTCATTGAACCTGCATATTGATGATATCCCTCAGTGGTGCTCTTTGCTTTGCAGCAATTTCTCACCCCAAAAGGCCTCTTAAGCAGCATTTCAGGAAGAGAAAACATAGTGTGGATGTGTGCAAGTCCACATGTCTTAGAACCCTCATTCATTCTTTTCTTCTCTAGTGTTGTATTCGAGTCCATCACAAGTCAGTCAGTCTTAAGCCAATTCCCAAGCTATTCAAATGAGCTGTGACAAAAGCATTCTTTTGTCATTGTTCACCCTGTTACTTGTGACTGGCTTTGTGAAGGGACCTGCGACTGGCCTTGTGAAGGGACTTGTAATGGACTCAAATACAACACTATACTTCTCATGTTCACACACAGCATGTCAAACAAATTCTCTCTCGATGGAGTGGCACATTTATCTACTGAGTCTATGCTCACCACAATCGACCTCATCCTCGTAGCCATTATCACAGTCCACTACCCCGTCGCAACGCTGCTGTGCTGGTATGCAGGATCCGCTGTTACACTGGTAACCCCAGTCACCGCAGCCGCCGTCGCAGTCTTCGTCGGAGCCGTCGGCGCAGTGGGGCTGCCCATCGCAGGTTTGCGATAGTGGGATACAGCTGCCGTCACTCTTGCACTGGAACTCGTTACGCTCGCAATCTTCTCTGGAACTCTGAGGACAATAAAAAGCTGCTTGAGTAGACAAAGCACTGTCACCTTGGCAGTTTCAAAATGTTTCAACTCTGCGGAGGAAACACTGATGCTGTATTGCGCAACTTCTACTTGTAAGAGCAACTCACTAGTCTGAGAGTAAGGATGTTAAACGTGATTGGCTGATCTGCATGATTGTTGTGTGTGATTGGTCGATTCTGTATGAAATTTCTTACATTCCCTTTTTGGAATCAGTCTTCCACAACTACGAATAAGAAAGGAAAGGCATTTGCCTGAGGGCAGAATTATCGATAAATCAGACAAAAAGATTATGAAACGATCAAGTGATCATGCAGATTGAGCGATGGCACCCAACATGGCCACTGCAAACCCACCATTATGCACATCGGTATGTTTTGCACACATTAAAAGTTTCCAGCTCTCAGAAAAAGGCAGTCATTATTTTCAGTGTCATAATGTGACTCACAAAAGATGCCTCGTACAAAGGACCATTTCTGGCTCACAGCTCGTTAGGGCTACAACCACGTTATGTTCATGTGGCCACAGCGCTTTGAGGGTGGCAGAAATCCAGAGAATGAGACCGATGCAGACAAACAAAACAAGGAAATTCTTGACTTTTTGAGGCATACCATGAAGTGAAAGAAAATTGGGAAAGTAGGAGATTAGCTACGAAAGCATAGACAAAGTATAATGATTTTGAGCCACGTACAATCACACGATCATGTGATACTGGCCATAACGTTCAACAGTGTGACATGTTTCTGTTGGTTTCAGCTCTCTCATAACAATACCGTAACTCGCTGCTTTTTCCGTATTTGTCCTCACCATCTCACAGCTAGTGCCGTCTTCCAGAAGCCGTGTCCCGTTGTTGCAGAGACAGGTCCGACCATCGCTATCCAGCTGAGACATCAGGGGGCAAGCGCAGGTGTAGTTTGCCTGGCTGGACGGGGAGGGAAGGCAAAGGTGGGAACAGCCGTGGTCCCCCTCGCAGTGGTTGGGGACATCTGAACGTAGACAAATTGCACTGCGTCAGTCGCAATCGAGAAGCATGCAAATGCGCTGGCGCAGTGGTAACAGAGTCTTACTTGGCCGCTAAACTCAGGCATGGGATCATGGGATTAGTGTCCCTGAGCAGGGCACTGCGTTCAAAGGTAGCATCAAGATCAAACAACATTCATGCGATTCAATTGATAATGTTTAATTTTGGCCAAGGTAAATTCTGGGAAAAGTCATAGTCAAGCCAGAATCAGATAGATTCTGAGATCTTGGACTGGGATGTGTACAAACTTCAAAGGCAAATTGCAGTCACAGACATGAACCAAGACTAACCCCAAATGAAATTATTACTATCACTCCAATAAAAGCTCATTTTCTAGCTTGGAAAGCCACGAGAAAACTTGAAAGTTCTACATCAAAGCAACATGAATGACACCTGCTGTTACCCTGTTAAGGGTGTCTGTTATCAATTCACAAAATTCAGGTTTTACTTGTCCTGTTTGACACTTTTTTCATCTCAACAAAAATTGGAAAGATTTATTTGAAGAGAAAATACGGTATGCAGGCGCTGAACGTCATTTGATTCGACAGAAGCAATTGGTTCAAGCCCTGGAACTTGTAATGCCACAAAAATATCATGCTAAAGGTCCATGGCCTTTACACACCATACACTCCTTGCTGGCTGTCCCTGACAATGGACATGAACAAAGGAGAGACGGCCAGAGATATCCCTTTGGAAATCGCTCCGGTGAACTTGTTGGCATAGTAAAGACTGCTAGTTCTCCAGTCTCCCCAGAAGACTTGATCCTGTGGAATTACAACCATATTGCAAAATGTTACCCAAACTGCACAAGCTTGGGTTGAACGAAAGAAAAAAAAAAGGAGTGCAGTTGATGCCCTGCGCAGGGCATCAACTATGAAGGTCTCGTCAGGACTTTGGGCGGTTTTTAAGTGAAGCAACATTTTACGGCAACAATCTTCAGTCAGTTCTGGATCTTTGTCGAGATGAAAGTCTGTCAACAATGAAAAAACTGATCTCTTTCACACACCTCGTGAATGGCCACGTCAAACGGGTGCTGCAAGATGCTGCTCTCCTTGATAAGAACTCGTCGTCCATCCCCATCAAAGCCGATGTACTCCATGATCTTCAGCTTGGCGTCCACCCAGTAGACCCGGCGAGCCTCGTAGTCCAGCGCCAGGCCGTTGGGCCAGCCTAGGCTGGAATTGACCAGGGCAGTTGGCTGTGAGCCGTCCAGGCCAGCCTTGCCGATAATCGGCACAGCTCCCCAGTCAGTCCAGTAAATGTATCTGTCAATATGTCAAAAACATTGGCCTTATTCCTGAGACGGCAGTCTCAACTCAAAATGAGTCAATCCCTGCAAAAATTGGCTGAAAAATTATGTCTGTGGCAAAGAAGATGCTGCAATAGGACTGAATTCTAGAAAGCAATTCTGGCGCTTTGAAAGGTAGTTCCAAATTATGGATGTAAAGAAAATCACCTTTACTGTCCAACTCAGTGTCAGGCTCAAGCTCCTTCCAATTTCAGGTTATTCAAGAATGTGGATTTAGGGTGCATGATTCAAAATGACCATCTCGTGAATGAGAACCATTAAAACCTTTCATAGTCTTCTGCTCTGCCTAGGAAAGACTGTCTGAACATGCTTCCAAATGCTATACTGTAATTAATAACTATCTGGGCGCAATATGGAGCGCCAACTCCACAATATTATTCTTTTGTATGTGTTAAAAGTGCTCAGGGCTGGGTCTGTTCTACTGTTGATTGGCCTCAAATTTCTGCCTCTAGAGCCTTGCTAAAGCAATACGAATTCAGAGTTTTCAACGAAGAGGTCTGGCGACACGGCATGCTGGAAGTTGAAGGAAACACCAAAGTGCGCCATGTTTAGGAGACTTCACTATACCACACAGGGACATACGATGCCTCCAAGGAAAATATTACTGTACAAGAGACCTTTTGGTCAGCATTCATAACCTTCAACTTACAAGGAGGTTGTGGGTTTGAGTTCCACCTAAGTTATTTACAACGAGCTCTTGACAAACACAAAATATATATACGGCGCTGAGAAGTATGTGTTGGTAAATATGAAAAATAAATCCTAAACATAAGATTAATATCTCAGAATGGAAAAATCACTCACACTACACAACACACAAGACCTTTCCAAAGTCTTTGGTTACTTTCGGTAAGCCTCAGGTCTAAACTATGCAGTGTTAGCCATACTGAACCAATGAAATATTGCGTCAGTAAACTTAGTGTGTGGAAAGCTCACTCAACTACAAATCTGGAACGTACTTCTCCATGGGGTCCACAGCGATGGCCCGAGGCTGGTCCAACCCGCCCAGCACCACGCTGGAGGGGAACTGACCATCAACTGGTATGGCTAGGATGGATTTGCCCGCAGCAGTGACCCAGTACAGGTTGCTGTGCACCCAGTCGTAGGCTGTGCCCTCCAGGGACGTGGTATTTTCCTCCAGGACGACACGGTCTGTGATGGAGATGTTCTGCCCAAAGAAACCTCCGGTGACCAAGAATCTGACAAAGTAGAAAATTTGAAGGAAACCCCAAATTCTTGTGTCAGCCTTCGCAGGCTGAGGGGACAATTTCTTTTGTATAGGAAAGTTGAAACCAAGTAGTGGGGACAAAAATTGTCCCAATTTCTTTTGGTAGCCACAATTAAGGCACAAGTATATGTGTGCATTTAAATAGTGAACTACAGAGGACGTTTTAAAGTATCTCTTATAAGTTCTTTATCCTGGTTGGCTGAACCACAGTCAAGTGGGGTTCACTAATACAAGCAAGCACATGAAATTTGTGTCAGCGTGGCTTGGCGATGACATAAGGCCAGACGTCATTATGCCATGGGTCTTTGGGTAATTGTCTTGTCTTGTACCCCGTGGCATTTGTGCAGTGGGATTTTTCAAGTCCTCTGCAATATCACATGCAGCTGTCAGTGTCATCATTTGTGGCATAGACTGAGAGTAAGGAGCTCAAATCTGCATCATCCTGAGTAAACATTATGCAATCGGCTTGAAATTTGCTCCTTCTGACCTAAGAAAAGACAGGCATTTCTTTTACCTATCCACAGTGCGCTTTCCGGTGTCAGCGACGAACATGTATTGCGAGCCAACACCATAGTGGACACTGATGACGTTCTCCCAGTCCCCGTCAATTTCGCCAGTGGTATCAAACAGAGTGTCTACCTCAAGGATGCGGTTTCGACCAGCAACCAACACCTGTTGACAGCAAAAAAGGATTGAGCATTTAACCATGTTGGCTGCATCAGGACTGCATTCACAACCTATCCAGCCCAGCTAAGCCCCAACCAGCAAGCCTAGCCACTTTCCAAAACTTTCAAATCCATCTATGTGAAGCCTAAGACATACCAGCATAACCCAGCTATGCCCTGCAACAAGGCAGACTAGACAGTCCAATCCAAGCCTTCTCATCAGCCCAGCGAAAAAACCCAACTCTGCTCCGCCTACCTAAGGCAGTCCAACCCAGCCCTGAATCACAGCCCCCACAAAACCTCTCTAGCCCAGAGAAAACCCAACTCTTAATCTGTTACCCCCACCCTATCAGCCTGCCCCAGTCTGGCCCCGGAACTCAGCAACGTAGCCATGCCAACGAATCCCGTAATTACTCTGGCAAAGTAAAGCCAAAATGCTTTCCTGCCTCAACTTTAAGACTGAATTTAACACGTATGAGTGCGGTACCACCTCACTCATGGATTCTCCTTGGGTTAGTTAACAAGCAACATTCCCTGTGAATTGCCACACGTTGTGAACAACGTCACTGCTCTTGGTGCAACTAAATGCAGCGGAGAATCTTCTGTGGGTCCCAGGGTTCTTTACAGCAGCATTCAACTGTGGAAAATTTCTGAATGTCATTACCTTGGGTCTTGTCGGGTAGGCGAACGTACAGGTTCGTCCGTCAGGGTTGAGTGCGTAGCTCTGTGGGCAAACACACTGTGGTCCACTGATCAAATTCAGACACTCCACCCCAGGGCAAGGGATAGGATCTGTTGTATTCACACACCAGTCAGGAGCCAATTCTGGAAACAAGAAATGTGGATGTACATAATACTTATAACTGACAATGACAAAAAATTATAATTAGCAAATAAAAAATACATGGCAATGCCAAAAAAATGGTCAAAATATGCATTATGGCAGCTCAATGAAGTTATTAATTAAACCACTCAGAAGAAAATTCACTCAAAGAATAGGAAACTGAAGAGTCTTACCCCAAATGAGGAGGTAACCCTATACTAATAGAGGAGTACCCCTGTCAAAACAGGTCTACACTCACCACAGTTGACCTCGTCCTCATAGCCGTAATCACAGTCTACTATTCCGTCGCAGCGCTGCCCTGCTGGTATGCAGGATCCGTTGTTGCACTGGTAACCCCAGTCACCGCAGCCGCCGTCGCAGTCTTCGTCGGAGCCGTCGACGCAGTGGGGCTGTCCGTCGCAGGTGCGCGTCAGCGGGACACAGCTGTTGTCGCTCCTGCACTGGAACTCGTTCCGCTGGCAACCTTCCCTGGGCTGCTGCACAGTAAAGAGGGACACAGTGAGAGGACAATTTTCGCAGTAGCGCCGCATTGCATCTCTTGTACGAGCGAGTGAGCTTCTGAGGAGAATCGATGGCGTGGGGACGTGACGGAATTCACCTCAAAGGAGGGCGGCTCAAAAAGTTCATGCAGCTTGGCAATGATCAAACTGAGATGAGTAAGAGTTTAATGCACTGGGCTGGGTGATTTATTGATCACAGCTGTCTGGCCGTGTTGAGATACTGGCAGTTATGAATGGTAAAACTTGCATGGTAGACTTTGTGACCAGAACTGACTTGAAGGATGAAATGAATGGGAGTACTGGTGGTAAACAGTGATTAAACAGTTTAGGTTGCGGAGCTAAAAAATGGGGGTAATGGAGAAAAAAGACAGAAGGCACAAATCAGTTGCTAAAAGGTTATGTACTGCAATGAGCAAAGTAGTCATGAAGCAAATTGTCATCAAATAAAGCCCAAAACTGAGTGTTCCAAAACACATCTATTTCAGGATCTTGATATCGTCTTAAACTAACAGGGCTATAGGCTCATGAAACTAGCAGTGTTGCATCATAAAGAAGGAAAGATTCAGGGCTAATCTGGTCGGCAATATGAGTAAAAAAAAAAGTAAGTTTATAGAACTGAATGATCATGAATGAAATGAGCTAACTAATGCAGATACCCTTCAGGGCACTACTCAAAGAACTTTCGTAAAGGTGATGAACTCAGCATTTTGGACGGTATGCTCCGTCATTCATTGAGTTCACCAGTTCCTCTCACAACCTTAACTGGTCACAGGAGCAAATTCGCATGTTGCTGGCGAAGGCCTTCTTCTCTTTGCTACACCCACCATGCAAGCATTCAAATTATGCTAGACCCAGATGGATCAGGTGATGATGCAGATAATAGTAACAATGACACAGAATGATACCAACCCTAATCCCCCATCATCCAGGCCCCAAATCCCCAGAACTGAATCGCTCCAGTAGGGAGCTGACTACGTTTAGCTTGAGAAAGTTACTCAAAATGCATTAAAAACCCTCCACACGACAGATTCCGGACCCTACGCTTTACCTCGCAACGATGGCTGTCCATATGCAGTCGAGTCCCGTTGGCACAGACGCAGACGCCCGTCCCACTTTCAGGGTCCTCGGTCAACATGGTGTCTTCCCCAGGGCAGGCACAAGAGTAGCCCTGGGCATTGCTAGGGCTACCCAGGCAGAAGTGGGAACAACCCTTGCTGGACTCCGCACAGGCACTGGGTGCTGATGGAACAAATGTTTCTGTATAATTTTATACAATTATGTTCAAATGCGCTATACTTCCTACAACGTTGTTGGGATGAGGGCATATGTAGACATCTTGGGCTAGCTGCCAAGCGACCCATTCGTGACCGCAGATCACAGCCAGAGATTGAACATGTTAATTTTTGCAGAGCAAGGAAAAAAAATGGAGGACCTTGTGGGAAACCCTACTCACATGTGGCCAACAATGATCGCAATGTATAAAACACCGCCGCTCTGCAAGCTGCGCGCCTACTTACGGATCCTGTCCGGCTGAGCGGCCACGGCCAAACCAGCTGGGCGACCCAAGCCTTTCGCCACGACGTCCAAGTCTGAACCTGAAAACTTGTTGGCTGAAAATAGTGAGGACTTCTGGGCATCTGTCCAGTACAGTTTGTCCTGTTGATGGTAAACATCAGTAATCTGTTACCTTGAAATTAAGAGTAACGAGGGTGTAAGGTGTCAGTTTATGCACGTAAAAATAATGGTCCAGGAAGGTTGGGACACTGTTCTGTTGAACTCCAACTAGGCCTGCTAGACACCTTTGGAATGTCGACAAAAATTCACCGTGCTGAGAAATACTAAAGAATGACTCCAGGTCAAATTGGCGTTGCACTCACTTGGTAGATGGCGAGCCCAAACGGACGTCTAGACATGTCCCTCATGATCACCCGCCGCCGGCTCCCGTCCAACTTCGCTGACTCGATGGTCTTGGACCCTGCATCCAGCCAGTAGATCTTGCCCTGCGAGGGGTCAAGGGCCAGGCTGACCGGACGCTCCCAGTGAGTCAGTGACAACCTGCTCCGGGTTGCTGCCATCTAGCCCGGCGCGCATGATGTTGGCAAACCTCGGCGAAAAGCTGCTCCAGTAGAGGTACCTGAGGTCGGGAGACGGTAAATCCCCAGGAAAAGACGATTCATGCTTCAGGCGAGTGTAAAAAGTGAAATTGATATAACGTCACGAAATGTTTGCAGTGAAGTTTGCTCGAGTTGAAATGTGTTCAACTTTTATGAATTTATGAGCACCAATGTTTGATACTCATTTTATGCCCAGTATGAAGCAGTGTTCACAAGATAATTCCGCGTACCTTTTAAGGACATCAAGCCAAAATACAAATCCTTAACTTCTGTCACTGACAAAAATTTTCTAAAACTCTCCCACTGTGAGAAGAACTATGGCCTCATGATGTCCTCATAGAGGAAAAGTCAGTTGCATTTGTCAAACGCAGTGCAATGGAAATGTGATGTATTAAATAAGAACAAATCATTTGCTCAGAGTTTCATTTTGACTTCTGTCCCTGTTCCCACTTTCAACTTTTGAACCAAAGGTCGTACCAATGTGGGGCTTTCACGGCAATGAAGGTTTCTACTTGACTGCATCACACAAGAACAGATTGAGCCATACACAGATCATCCAATGGAGGTGCAGCATATGGTGACATGAAAACTGACATCACAGGGTTCCCACCAATTGCAACAACTCATTTTGTGAGTGCTCCACCTTTCACTCACCCGTTCTCAAGGTCCAAGGCCAGTGCCCGGGGGGTGCTTATCCCGTCGTCCCTCGAGAGGAGAGCCTTGCTATAGCTTCCGTCCCACGTTGCGACGCTTATTGTGCCCTTCCGGCTGTCTGTCCAGTATAGGTACCGGTGGACGGGGTCGAAGGCTAGGCCAAATACGGGCCCTGTGTTTGACGTGATCAGCGTTGTGTTACCCTCCATGCGGCCGGCATACCCAATCCTGAAATTAATGGACAAGATTCTGATACAAACGACAGGCACTGATTTAATCCGCAACGTGCCTAAGATACTCAAAAAATCTGCCTGGTTTTGGAAGATGCTAGAAATATCTGATGTAGAGATTGCTGTACCTTTTGATGGTTCCTGGGCCAGTATCAGTGACATACACGGCCTCGTTGCCCGGGAGACCATCGTAGGCCAAAACAGCAGCTGAGATGAAGCGACCAATATCCATTTCTGTGGTGCCAAAGACCGACTCAATGTCCCTAACCACCTGGCCATCAGCAACCAGTATGTTGGGCGGGGTCGGGGAGGCGTGATGGCATGTTGGGCCTTCTCTCTCCTGGGTGAGACGGTACCCTGCGGGGCAGATGCAGACGGGACCGGCCTTGGCGTCCACGCATTCGATGCCGCGGCAAGGGTCGGGGGTTACCAGGCATCTATTCTCGGCTGGAAAAAACAGGGAAGGAGAGTGCATGAGTAACTCCTTCATGGCATCTGGACCTACAATCCTGGACAAAATAGTTGGAACACCTTGTGGGAAGTGCAGTGAAAAGATCCCCCTCTCCCCCGTTCAATGTTAGGGTCATTTATTGGACAAAGATTCGGCCCAACTTACCCAATGAGAAGCAACATTGACAGGGGGCGAGGGCGGAGGCAAGTTCCAACGAGATTTGTCCAGGATTGTGGGCATTGCTTAAACCACTTCATGCAGGAAGACGTGTGGACATGCTGGGATTGTCTGAGACCCTTACACAGAGGACTTTTTAGCACATCTTGGTGAGATGGATGATGTCTGTACCTGTCCTACACTGGAGTGATTCCCACAGGGGCTCAAATTACTGAGATGCTGTGGAGCATTCATGCAGCATTGAGCCATGGCCGAGTATAGTCACAAATATCGCTCAGCAGCAATGACTAAGGCGTTTCAAAAAAAGCAAAGATATGGTGAAAATGTCACACAAATCTTGAAAGAATGATCACCTGGGTTAAGTCCAACTTTGTAAAGGACTGTGGTTGTGACATTTTACTGTTTTAAAAGGTCAGTATTCTGCCAAAAATAAAATCCCGTCTGGGGCAAGTTCATCTGGAATAAAAGTTCACACTGTCCGCCATTGGTTACATGATAATATCTAGTGTCTAATTTCAGCTTGTCACAAATTCTCACAAGCACTCACCATGGTGAAAAGTACCTGTACCACAGCTTAAAACCACCTTTTTCTTGTGATGTCACGATCGTGCTGGACTGCGATGTGTTGTGATGGTAATGAGTGCTTAGTGTTATGATGTAAGCTATCTATTTAAGATAAACTAGTCAAGCATGCTGCGTTCGCACGTGCGATTGCACGTGGTTGAAGCTGCCCGTAGGAATATATGCGATCACCAAGGCGGTCCACACGTGGTGGTATTGTTTACATTCAGAGCAATCCAGTCACGCGGGTGAAAAAGGTCTATAGATTTCCACCCCCTCGCGCCAAAGCTGGTGAACATGGCCTATGTGAACTGTTGAAACAGCTTCCATAGGCATGCATGTTACTGCTGACTGTATCCGAAGCTAAATATACAAGGCTGGAAATAATAACATACCAGCGCAAGTGCTGCCATTGTCAGAAAGTCGGTGGCCGCTACCGCACAGGCAGGTTCTCTGGTCGGACGCCAGGCTGGCCTGATCTGGGCATGCACAGATGAACCCTTCGGGCGCGGACGGTGATCTGAGGCAGAGATGAGAGCAGGGATTGCCCGCCTCCTCGCAGAGGTTGACGGCTGTAGTAACAAGGACAAAATGGCCACACATGCACGGCTAGTACTGTCATCATAAACTGCCTTACACACTCAAGCTCTCGTGTAGGGCACAAAGTGAGCAATGCCAATTTCCGTTTGAATGTGCACAAACCTACATATCTGTTCTTAGAAATCCTCCATAAGCATGGGCACACAGAGGCCACATGCAGTGTTCACCCACCCAGTTTGGAGTAACTTTCCACAGCCAATGGGGGGGGGGAGAGAGGGAAGGGGTTGTAACCGAGTCTTCCCCCCCTCCCCCAAGATATCAGCTGTCTCAATTCAATCCGACAGAGGAGTTTGTTTCTATGGGCATTTGTAGTTCTTACACAAAGGGCACATTGACCCAGGCACGGAGGACAGACAGTGAAAAAAACCACTTAATACATTTGGCACATCTGTTTCAGAACAATGAAGAGTTGGTGAGAACTCTATGTCCAATTTTCAAAACCTGATTGTAAAAATGATCACAAAACATCAGTGGCAATCAGAGAGTGGTAGGACAAAATTCTCTGCAATGACAGTAGACGAAAGACAAGAGAGTTCGGTATTACCATCATAGTAACCCTCCGTGAGCACCAGATGCATCGGTGTGTAAATGTTTCTGAAGAGTGTTTCCGCTCCTTCCCCGTTAAACTTGTTGGCCGAGTTGACAGCTCCACTATCCCAATCTGACCAGTACAGGGTGTCCTGCCAAAAATCAGACATCAGGTGTTTTGACGGGGTGAACGATATTCGAGGAATTTGAAAAGGCCCAATTTCTTGTGGTGCTTGAGGAAGAAAAAGGATAGGCACGTTGAAGGCACAGTTGCGCCAACCATCACATATTTCTGTCATAAAATCCCACCAATGGTCTTTTAGCCATTTCTTCCTGCAAATTCCAGTGTTACCTGGTAGACGGCAAGCCCAAATGGATGCTGCAAACCAGAGAAGCGGCTGGAATCCAGGACTACGTGGCGATTGCCGCCATCCAAGTCTGCTGATTCCAACCGATTTAGTTTGGCATCGGCCAGGTACATGCGGCCTGCCTCGTAATCCAGTGCCAGCCCGTTGACCCATCCAATGTTGTCGGTTATCAGCCAGCGGGCTGACCCGCCATCCAGGTCGGCACGGCCGATGTGGGGCCTGATTCCCCAGTCACTCCAGTACATGTATCTGTGCCGGGGGTGGGTGGAGAGAAACGGCCATGAAACAATTTCCCAACCAGTAAATTTTGCTCAAATTCAATGTCACTTCCTCTGGGAATGTTTCTTTTAGTTCCTTTCACTTTGAGTGGTGGCAATCCCTGGAAAAATGTTCACAACTGACAGGAATAAAACATTTGTACGGTGTTGCATCCTAGCAATCTCAATCCAAGTCCTGCCATTTAATGTTTAAGCAGATTTGTAATTTTGTAAGGTTCTGGAACAGCACAGTCGATTATCGAGTATAAACGGCATTTTGTGCAAGGTGGCGATTTCAGCCACGAGGAAAAATATACATGAGGCACTAGACCAGCTCCAAGCTGCAGGGTGGATGCTGGTCTTCTCCTGGGTGTTCTGTGATCTTAGAAGATGGTGGTTTTCAACTGGTGAAACATTCCATTGCAAGTCCCTGCAAATCCATCGCAAGTCCATCATGAGTTGTATTAATTCATGTATTCAAGTATTAATTCATGAGCAACTCAACTGAACTGTGACAAAAGCTGTCATTTTTTCCATCCCGCTTTTTGTGACTGGTCTTGTGACTGAACTTGTGAAACCACTTGTGCCTGTTTTTTCTGTTGGACTCGAAATTGGCTCTGACCCAAACCTTACTCGATACGTACCCATGCCTCGGGTCCACAGCAATAGCCCTTGGTTCGTCCAGTCCATGGTCGATGAGGACTTTGACCGATGTGCCATCCCAAGAGGAGACGCTGATGGTGTCGGGGGCCGTGTCGGTCCAGTAGAGGTTCCTGTAGATCCAGTCAAATGCCATTCCGTCTGGGATGCCAGCGTGAGTGATTACTTGCCTTTCAACGAGACCCTCTGCTACGGTAATCCTGCAAGGAGGCATGGAATTTTTTAGTGTGCCAATTAGAAGGAAGGGTTGAACCATCCAGTGATGTTTGGTGGATAAACTGAGCATCCCTGCTCAGAACTTCTTGCACCTGATGATTAACACGAAAATGTATGCTGTTTAGCACAGTGATTTCTCTGAGTAAATCCTGTTTAACCTTAAAAGGAAATGGATATGTACAAAGAGTATAATTGAGTCTCTCCAATTTCCTCATTCTGTGCAAACCTGTCATACCTCTGATAGACTGTCTCTCCAAAAAATCCTGTCAATTTAACCTGGGTTTGCGTCAGTAATTGTAACAATTATCCAAAAAGTTGCTGCAGCGTTGTACTAACTGCATGGTGTAAATATGTAACAGCTTTAAATCAAGTTGACTTGGAAATCAGCATTCGGACTAGAAAAGCCATTTGAAGCATGAAAGAGTAGAGATTTATTGGGCACCTTTCAATATCTCCTGCCAAGTCTCCCACGTAAGCTGCACCGGTGCCGGGGTCGTAGCTGATGGAGACCGCCGCTTGGAAGCCGTCAGCAAACAAACTGAACTGCCGGAGCGCGACATCCAGTGATGTTACATATTGGCGCTTCGCCAGGAGCATAGTTGGGGGCGTCGGAAAGACGAACTTGCAAGTGCGATTTTCCGCGTCCAGGTAGTAGCGCGAATCGGGACAGACACATGTGTACCCCGGCTGCAGATTGGTGCAGTTGAGACCTGGGCAGGGGTCGGGCATCAGCATGCATTCATCCACATCTACAGGATAAAGTATAAGACCTGTTCTTGATTCATGTGAAATTAGATAAAGTCTGTCACAAAAGAGATTATGCAATTACATATTAACATGCATAGTGAAAAAGATTAAGACGACTGGAAAAAAGAGCCATCACCAACCACCTGATCACTCAGTCTGTTAAAAAACATGAAGGGGCTGCAATTGGAAAGCTGCATCTCCCAGGAGGTTCTGACGATGGAGCACAGCATGCCAGTGAGGAAGGTTTCAAACTGACCTGAGCATCCATATATGGTGAACTGGTACCCCGTGCCACATTCGCAGAAGTATCCACTGGGGACGGTGATACACTGTCGGTCCCCACAGCCTCCGTTGTTGTCACTGCAAGGCTCTGTAAGGGATAACGACAAACTGATGCCAAAATTGCTCTGAAGTTGTGCACGAGCAGAGCGCATGAACGAAAGACGGCATGGGATAAATTCTTGATCAGAAACTGACGGTTTGGATAGAGTCAGTAGAAGAAAATGCACCAAGAAATATCAATGTTTGTCAAACTTGTGTCAATCAAGTAAAATATACACCGAAAAAGCTCCCATCTGGATTTTTGTGTTTTCAAATCATCACAGTCTCGGGGTGGCTGCCAAACATTCCCCTAATGCACAAAAGTCCAGAACTGCATCCGTGAGTAATGGAAATTTGACGATGCTGAACACTTACGGACAGTACACTCCGTTTCGTCCTCCCCGTTAGGGCAGTCGTCTGTACCGTCGCAAACCTGGGAAATCGGGAGGCAGGATGGGTTGTCCGGGCACTGGAAGAAGTTTGGCAGGATGCAGGAGTCGCCAGGGCAGTCTGCTTCGTCTGACGAGTCCTCGCACTCCAGTCTACCGTTACAACGTGCCGCGGAGGACACGCATCTGCCTGAATCGCAGGTGAAACCATCAGGGGGGCAGGTCGCCTCTCCTGAGAAATGTTGAACCAAGTATAAAGTTCTCAGGGGTAACAGCTTCAATGATCAACAACATGCAAAACCTTACACCACACTGTGGCAATCTGCAAGACGCATATTTACATATCACTGCACTCTAACTTGAGTGGAATCACACAATTTACATGTACCAATATAAAATTATGATTTTGATTGAATATTTGGCAAAAATGAAACCCCACATTTTCATTGAGTCAACATGCCGAGCATGGTACTCAATATCCGATTCTTTCCAATACTCATATTTTCCACTTCTGAAGAGTATTTAGATAATTCTCAGATAAGTACTCTTTCAATACTCACGGTAAAATACTCACACTGAGTATGAAAAAACAAACGTGCCTTCCTCTTGCATTCTACTCCAATTGTAAGTTACTTGCTAATGACTCAGAGTGCTCGCACTCATTCGCGAGTATTTTTTCAGCAACTCAACTTTTTTCTCCTCTGATCTTACCCCTGACAAATAACTTCCCTCATCAGAGATTTCACAGATTTGCACTTTACTATTACTCACTTCCATTACTCAAACTAGTCTGGGAAACTTTATTCTGTTTGTACTCATACCAAAGTACTCATTTTACCAGAAGCATAGTACTCGTTTTGAGACATTTCTTCCCACCTCTACTCTTTACACTCACACTCCTACTCAAAGACTTCTTCCCACTTGAACAGACTCTCAAACTCATATGCAAAGTTGTCACAAGCAATTGCATCTATTACCAGCAAGACTACATTGTTCTTCACAGCTCCTGATCAGGAAAAAAAATAGGAACAGTCTTCTTTTCTAGCGGAGTGAACTCAATAGGTGAGTGGAAACTCAAAAATGACACTACTCAACTGCTACAATTGTGTTCGTCCTCCCCATCCATGCAGTCAGCCTCCGAGTCACACCACCATGCGGCTGGAAGACACTCCCCATTGTTGCACATGTGCTCGTTGCGTCCACATTTGTCAGACGGCACGGGACACATGCTTGGATCCTCGTCACTTCCGTCCACTACGAACAACAGAAGCAATTCAGAGAGGCAACTTCAGGAATTAAAAAGGAGCTACCGGTCTTGAAAATCTGGACAAGAAGTCTAAAAATTTTGGTCAGTACAAAGATAGTCTGCACGGAGCCCCAATCTAGACTCGGAGAAGGTGCTATTTTCTTGGCAATGGAGGCTCCTGTGGTCAGGACTGCACTTAGCTGGTTCACATATGACAAGGAAATGTGCGCATCACAGTTGCATTGCTTCCGGTACCAACAAAATAAACACTCCTGACCAGCATGGCTCTTTTCAACCCATGAGGGGGTGCTTACACGACAGTATACAGTATCTTGAAAAAAAGTCCATGGGGACAAAAACGAGCGCATCTAAAATATCTAATAACCAACTGTGTAATATGAAGCCTCCCCCGGATCCCCCAATCTACCAATCATACGCCAACAAATGTGCTAGACCTGGGCAAGGGTGACTTCTGTGAGCCCCGAGTCTGTCCACCTCTACCTCTTCCCATCGAGTTAAAAAAAAGTCCAAACTTGGAGAAAACTGTTGGCTGTGTGAGCAGCGTGGGTTGACTCACCGCAATCGTTGTCCTTGTCACAGGCCCACCGACTTGGGATGCATCTCTCGTCCCCGCGACACTGAAATTGCTCCGCCGTGCACGTCTTGGCCGGGCAGCCCTCCTCATCTTCCCCGCCCATGCAGTCTTCATCCCCGTCGCACACCCACACTTTGCTGATGCAAGACGTTTCTATCTCTGTACAGGCAAACTCGTCGGTTTGGCAGATCGTCGGCCCTGGTTGGACAGAATTGGAAAACGGACAGAGGAAGAAGATCCACCGGCTATTTCAATGCTTCACTTATTTTTTTGGGGGGGGGATTTGTCAGATGGATGTAAAACAAATACAGATTCCCAAAAAGCCAACTGAAAATGACAGGCATCCAGTTTGATTTTTTTCTAGTTTACCCTCCAAGAACCAGCTTGCCAGAACATCTCATAGCTCGGGGAGGGGAAGGGGGAGAAGACACAGATTCTACCCCTTCACAAGGAACTCGGCTGTCCCATGCCAAAGTTTTTGTAAGCTTGGCATGCATGTAAAGGAAACTCACTCCGACGTACGGTTTTGCTGTTTCAGTTATATGAAGTTCATGGCCGCATGCACGTCAGCCCATGCACACTGAGTAGTCAGTGGGAAAAAATATAAATTTTTGGCTGACCTGTCTCAGAAAAATCTGCAGGAACGGCAAGTCTGATTTCCACAAAATTTGTGTAAAAATGACAGCATGAAGTTACTTAACACCATTTGAAAGCTTAGTGGACAGAAAAAGATATCAGGAAAAATGTCAATAATCTGCCCCTCCCCTTCGCTCTTAGGGTTAACCCCAGAAACCTCAAATTCAGCAGCCTGTCTGAAAAGAAAGCACAACGTTGAATGGACCTTCTGCTGACAAGAAACAAAATAAAAATCTCGGATTAGTATTCAAAATATGCTGAAATATAACTTCGCCTTCAGCTTTAGCTCTTTTGTTTTGCTTTGTCTCAGCAAGCATAGCACGGCAGTGCCACTCAGAGGCTCCTTACAGGGTACTATCATGGCAAAACGCTTGATATCTGACCTCGGGGTCTCAATAGTGAGCCCCGTTTGGGAAATGTGCGCTCACTGTAAAAAGTACATGGGTCCTGACTGAAGAACTGAACAGTGAGATAGGAAAGGCTCACACGCTAAGGACAACAGACCTTTTCTGAAGGCCGTGAAAGTGCACAGGAACTGTTGGGGTTAACCAACGACTGCCCACACAACTGGAAGAAAAAAACAGACTTTTGCATTTATAATCTGTTCTCATTTTTGCACTTTCCAGGTTTTGTTTCTAACAGCATCTGGACTTTTTGCTTGGGTTTTCGGGCCATTCTGTCACACGTACTGAACCAACCTGCTTGACACCCCATCTTGATCAAGTGGCGCAGACAATCAAGACTCAGGCTTTTTTAGGGGGGCAGGGGGAGAACAAATATCCCAGTTAACGTGATTCGCTTTGTAGTGTTTGGAGTTATTACCTCGGGTAGTGCAGTCTGCCTCGTCGGATCTGTCAGTGCAATCGTCATCCCCATCACACCACCATCCCTCTAGGATGCACTGGCTGCTGTTACATTTGCGGAAGCCGACGCCGCACACGATTTCAGAGCTCTGACACAATGCTTCCTCCTCGTCACTGGAATCACCTGCAGCAGGGAGACACAGCCCAAACAGTCATTTAGCTGAGAAACTGATTTTACTGAGAGCATCTGTGTTTATTCTGTGGTTTGCATGTATATCTTGACCCTGATGGAAAGGTTGATTGGTCGGTTGGGGTGGAGGAGTAAACAAAAAAATTACTCGGTTGTCTCCGGAAATGTTCCAGAGTGTTGTTTTTTCAAATATTTTTCTTGGTAGGAAATTCCAATCAGGGTCGATGACTAAAGAACTTTTTCCCCTCTGTCAGAGCCAAAGCTAAGGGTTATAGTTGGAAATGAAAGCCACAGAATTAATGGATGCCCTTATAGAAAACAAAAATCAATATCCCCCCCCCCAAGTCTCAGCATTTTTATCCAGAAATTCTTGAGGATTTTTGGGGGTACGATGGTCACTTCAAGGACCCCTTAAGAGAGAGTGACTCACCACAATCGTCTGATTGATCGCACAACCATCTCCTGGGAATGCAGAGCTGACTGGTCCTGCAGAGGAACTCTCCTGTCCCGCACGTCTTGGGAGGGCAGCCTTCCTCGTCTTCACCACCGTCGCAGTCCTGCTCCCCGTCGCACACCCAAAGCCCGCTGATGCACCTGTCCCCGGTCGGGCAGGTGAACTCGTCACCTCGGCATGTGACCGGCACTGACGGTGGACAATTTGGGAGGGCATGCGAGAAGAATGCAAACACAACAGAAGAGAACTGTTGGCGCTTGCCGTGGGTGCTGGGGTTAGGCTAGCAAAAAATTTGCAAGCCCACAAGGATGAGATTTCTTTTCAAAGGAAATTTTGATCAAACCTGCCAGGGCGATCTCCAACAATCATTATAACTTCTACATCACGAGGGAAAGTCCCTGATTCTTTCATGCAATAAAGCCACTTCCAGATTACCTTGCTGTCGCTATAAATAGTGTGTGGATCTATGAAAGCCACATACTTGTGCCTGCAGCTACTTCCAATAGACCGGTGTTACCCCTATAAGAAGCCAGCTGATTTGGACACAAGGCTTAAACGCTGTACAAGCTGAAAATCTCAATTTGCTCTTTAAACTAAAACTGTGCCAAATGCAGCAAGATCCTATGTTATTTCCACAGCACCTAGAGGGTGCATGTCTTGAGTCCACCCCTCAGCTGACCTGCCCTCCCTGCCTTGAAACATTCAACCTAAACACAGGCATGGAACTAGAAATTCAGAAATGAATGAGGAAATACCCAACTACACAAGGTTTTGTACATCGTTGATCAATTTGTAATGCCATAATGGGAGAAGTGAAATACCCAGAAATCAGCCGATCGAGGGAAAAAAAGATGTCTACTAAGACTTGAAGTTACCGTCAGGTTTATTAGATCACCGCCGATACTTTCTCATGGTTGAGTCGCAGAAACATCTGCCCTTCTGAATTATTTGTATTTGACTAGAAATTATACAACCTGCTGACAAAAATCTCCACCTTGTGGTTCAATACTTCCCCCCAGATGCCCATGTTCTTACAATACCCGCAGCTAATGAGATGCGGTGATCCTACCAATATTGTTGCAGTTCTCCTCGTCAGATCCGTCACCGCACTCCACCTGTCCGTCGCACCACCACTCCTGGAGGATGCACTCGCCGCTGGCGCAGACGCGATAGCCGCTGTTGCAGTGCGGACCTGCCCGACAGAGCAGTATGTATTCATCGCTGGAGTCGCCTGCATTAGGAGAAGGAAAAAGTGGATGTGTAAAGCTCGTGTATCTCCCCCTAAAATTAGTGTCATCATTGGCTGGTAAGTGTTTTTCTTTTTATTTCTTTCTGGTAAAGAAATTTAGAATTTTTCTCCAAAGTGCATTATGGGCACTGTGTCTCAGAAGCCCTTAGAATCCTGGGAGGTGTAGATAATAACAACAAAAATTAATAGTGGATAAAAAAAAAGTAGAGGTTTCAGAGATTGGTGGAATAAGCCAACCAGAGAAAGCAAACAGAATCACACAGGGATTGCATATCCAATCTACAAGTACATGCCGGCCTCAATGTGGAATCGAACCCAGGGTCACAGAGGTGTATGCAAAGGCAAGCACTGCTGTGTCAACCAGCCTGAAACCCAGTCCACCAGAGAGGGTGCTCTGTGGCCTAGCCACTACGGATGTCACCTCACCAAGCTACGAGTCGTTTGCCACGGTCTGGCCCCGAGTTTGCATGTCTTAATCTTCTCTGAAAATGCACAAGTTCATTCAAAGTGGTCTCTATGTGGGATTAGGTATTCAAAGCAGCAATGGCCGAATGGTGGTGAAGCGCTGGCTCAAGCTGTCTCGATCACATAAGAGAAAAGTTAGACCTGAAATTCGCTGACCTTTATCACTGAAGAGACCATTCAGTCTCTCTGGAAATTTTGACAGCAGTGACAGTTCAAAGTAAAAAGGGCTGGAGCCATCATCTCATAGCCTCCCTGCCCATTTTAATACACATGGCTGAATTGACTTCAACAACATCCTGTTTCTGTCCACCAGCTTGCCAAATGTACAGCTATTTTATGCGTCAGGAAATATGCTGAGACATGAGATGCCCCTCTGGACATGAAACAGCGGTATATAACATATCTTCTATTCTTAGAGTCATTTCAATTCAATAGTGAATAGCTCACTGCCTAACCAATAAATCCACATACATGTATGTCTACCAGTTGTAGGAAATGATTACCACCTCCTAAGGGTTACTGTCTTCCCCCAGTTGTTAAGATCACAGAGCAAGGATATGAGTTCATGTGCAATAGCAACTGCAAGTCATAGGAAATTCAATGGGTCTATGCCGACTACTGCATCCCAGAGAGCTCCCTTTGTACATGTTGTAACTGACTTTATTACAGGAAGTGCAACAGAACCCAGGGTGCAAGGTGACAATGTCATGACCAATCTTAAGCGTTTAGACAACTGTGCAACATTTTGAAGAGCCAATTGTGTTTACATAGAGGGTTTGTGGATACACCATTGTGGAAAATATCTCTTTTTGAGTATGTGGTTCTGAAAAAACCGGTTACTCGACGTTATGGACAGTGAGTGCTCTGTCTGTCTTCAGGACTGATACGATCCAACTGTGCTGCTGCTTGCAATTTTATTTAGTCTTTGTGGTATATGAGTGGGTCGCGCATGAAGCTAAGCACTCATCAATGCCTTGTCAGAACCCAGTATCAATTTTTTTGGCCGAGTTTTCCCCTGCTCAACAGGGTGTACAGTTGAACAGTTATATGAGAGTTAAACATTGACTGTACGGTCTCTTGAAGGCAGTAAGTAAGAGAACCTGTCCTTTATAATTTATCAACACAGTACACAAAATGACATACATACTTGTTTCACAAGCAAAGTGTGGACATTTTTTTCTCCTGTGGTTTAGAAAACTCTGGGTAAATGCTTTTTAAATTTTCTTCCGCTAGGATAACTCTGCATGAGCCGTATTTTGGACGATGATTTCCTGGACCTTTCCTCTTTATTTAGCCACAGATAGCCCTGAACTCAAAATGCCTCGGAAGCTATTTTCCAGAGTGGGGAGACGCTGTGTGGACGTCCACACAATGTCCTTTAACCCTACATTATATGGACTTCTTTTGTGTGGAGGTCCACACCATGGATGCCATGCTTGCGTTACATGCACACACACGCAACACCAAAACAGCAGCAACGTGCTGCCTCTCTTTACGGTGTGCTGTAATATGGAAGACAGCCTGCAAACTCCTGGTATTAGAAGGAAATAACGAGTTTTGACAACCCCCCCCCAAAAAAAATCTAGTGACCAGAATTAGACACTATACAGCAGGGCCACCATGACTGTGGACAGGTGGTACGCTCATCTTGAAAGTTCCTAGCAATCGTCGAACTTTTCTGACACCTTTTTTGGTGCAACGTTTTTATTCCTCCTGTAAGTATGAAACCGATGCCATCCCTTGTGGGTTGAATGGAATGAAAAATGCACTGTTTTGCTTGTCTCTGCCTCTCTGACATATGACAATGCCGTTGCTATGACGTCAGGGAAGACACTGTTTATTTAGATTTTTTCTATTCAATTGTGAAACCACAAGTTCAATTGTGAAACCACAACATTTCTAAAGAATAGGGTTGTTTATTGATTTATTGCCACGCACTCGGACGATGACGAACAGAAGAAAAGGAAATTTTGGCCAGCAATACAGAGATAATTCTAGCAGTTTTTGTGCACAAAAAAACAGCAGAGAAGAGCAGAAAACACTGAGAAGAAAAAAATATCACAGTTTAATTGAGACACGCAGGTGCATTCTCAATGACTGCAGAACAAAACAATCCACTACACAGACCCTTTGAATGCCTCTTCAGCCGATAGGGCGTTGGGATTTGCCTGAATGCACCCATGCCTCATGTTCATGCATGAGAGTGGTACCCCTTAGTAATGGTGTGGTCTACGATAAGTCTCCATTGCCTTACTGCAGTCGGCGTCGCCGTCACACATCCACGCTTTGGGAATGCAGCTAGAGTCCTGCTGGCACTGGAAGTGTAGATCCTCGTTGCATCTGGTGGAGGGGCAGTCCAGCTCGTCCCCGCCCCCGTCACAGTCGTCATCTGAGTCGCAGACCCAGGTGGCCGGGATACACCGGATGCTGCCCGCCGGGCAGGCAAACTGACCCTCCTGACAGGAAGGCGGCAGAGGACCTGTAAAAATACATCCGGAGACATTAATTAAAAAAAAAAAAAAACCCAGACGGGACGTGTCTGAAATACAGGATATTGCAAGAACAAACATCCTTTTGAGGAGCCAAATAGCCATGCCGAAAGTTTAACAACCTGCCCAGGGAAACATGACTGGCTCACAACTATGACCCCCTGGACCCTTCTGTCTGGCAGGTTGAAACTTGAGGAAATTTCTTTTATTGATAATTTGAGAAAGTTTAGAGGCACAATGATATTGGCGGCATAGGTCATTGTTTCAGAGGTCTTAGAGAGATATTTACTTGTTCTTTTTTAATAAAGCGTGGAAGAATGGTTGTTTTCTGTTGGTGAAACTAGCGGTTGTTTAATGGACTTTTCTTGTTGGCTTAAGGTGTAGTTTAGCTTACTTTTGGCACATTTTAGCTAGTTTCCTTTCCTGAATGATTTCACGAAGTATTCTTCCAAGTTATATCCAAAAATGTGGGGGATTTTTTTTCTGCTTTCACCCTGGGGGTCATCTACATGTACATAATGTAATGTGCATCACATAAAGGTACCAATATGATAGCTCAAGTATGATTGACGCATTATGAAGCACAATTATAGTTTTGGGTGGACAGGCAACCCTTCTGTTCTGGTAAGCACCAACTGTATTGAGTTTGCACAATGTTCTTTCACCAGATGGTGCACATGCACAAATGTTGGCAGTTAAATGGAAAAGCTACTTTCATTTCAGAGATAATCTTATCTTTAAAGATCAGCATTTTCTTCAAAGTTTCAAGATTTAATCCTGACTCCTGGTAGCAGAATTTCCACCTTAATTCTGCCCAGCTCCCCATTGAAAAATCTGTATTCAGCACTGCATGACAATTTGTTGGATAAAAAAATGTTCCTCAACTAGAACTCTGGCAACAGTTTAAACTTTGCCTGCTGGAACCCTGATGTTCTGCCTATTAAAACTCTTTCCATTACAATAATGCATCATGGCACAGCACGGCACCAGCTAAAACACAGGTGAATGGTTGCCTCCTCTTTCACCTTAGATTCAATATATTATACAGGGGCTCTCTTGGAAAACAGGGTGTCATTCTAGCTTACTGGCACAGGTGGAGTTGAACTCGTCAGATTCATCAAAGCAGTCGGCAAAGCCATCACAAGCCCAATGCAGAGGAATGCATTGGTTGTCATTACACTTGAATTCATCACTACCACATATAATTTCTGAAATTAAAAAAACCCAAGAACCATGGCAATTTGAAATTGTAAAGTTCTTGTAAAACAAAATACTATGATTTCAAGTCTAGAGTGAGAGTGACTGGTAACTTTTGCCACTTTTCCTAGAGCTTAGAAACTGTCAGAAAAGGGCCACTTTACAGAATAAAATTTGTAATCCAGATCTCTTTCAACAAATATACATATGATCCACAATCAAAATTGTTAACAAGCAAAACCTACTTCCCTGCTGTGGTCTTGTGAAAAATGCTTTTCCCTGTAGAGGAAAGTGATCTTTCTTGGCAGTGAGCACAGAGAGCGAACAGCACCCAAGTCCCTGGGCTCGTAAATTTTCATGAATTTTCTTACATGGGGGCATCACACAATAAATTAGGCAACGGGACAAGAAGAGGTCGTGGTTATTTATCAAATGCAGGGTTAAAGTTTCAGCTTAATGTAATCGACAACAGAGCAGGGCTAGTGGCTCAAAGATTTCTGTAGCTCACACTATATGAAACTTGACAAGATTTTGTAGGTTTGTCCATGGCAATGTATGAGAAAAGTTTAGATGATGGCTAAAAATAATGAACGGTATAGAAGCAAAATGTCAAAAAAAGATAAACAGTTGTTGAAAATGACAAAACTTTAATGGAGTCAAAGGAACTTCAAAATAGAAAAAGTGATTTAAATTTTAACCCTTGCTTTTCATAGCACCCTCTGAAAACACTTTATTTGGGGGGCGGCATTTATTTCGTCTTCTCTCTGTGAGCTTTTAACAAACTATACAAGATGAACAAACTGCAAAGGAAACTAAAAGTGGGAAGAGCAAAAAGAGTTTTTAAAACTAAACAGCCAGTAATAAAGAACCATTGATAATAAGAAACATAATAATATGAATCATACCGTCATAACAGACACCTGACCAATGATTACTATTACCAATTTACTTTGTCTAGCCATCAAGGAAGTATTTCAAGCCGTGTTGTGCTTCCGTGCCAACTCCAAGTCAGGTTTCCTTCCCCCCCCGTCATGAGTGGGGTTGTCATTTTCACAATCAATGACCCAACTCACCTGGGCAGTTGAGCTCATCTGACCGATCTGGACAGTCTATCTGCCCATCACACTGCCACACGGTCGGAACGCAGGCCCCACTACTGTGGCATGCAAACTCCACCTCCACATTGCACACTGAGGGAGTCCAAAAAAAAATTGACCTTTACGTGCCTCTAAACGAGAAGCTGAATTTTTCTGATTTCATCTTGGCCAGTATATGAAAGCTGTATTGAAAAGATCATACTGGGACCTCAAGGCAACATCCACGGCAGAAGTGAAATTTGCTTGACGCATTCAAAGATTCACTTTATTTATCTGAATATGGAGGGCGAAATTTCAATAACACATTAATTAAAGTCACGAATTAAAATCAAGTCAAAGAAGAGTGGAAACTAGTTAAGCTGTTACAACCTCATTAATAATTCCTAAACAAAAAGCTTTTCAAAAATTTATAATGGAAATAAAAGAAAATGGTACATGTACCAGGACCTATACCTATTAGGCCTACTTCTGCTTCCTGTATCCAATTTCGAACAGAACTGTTCAGCACTCTAAAGTACGACAAGGTTGTGATATGCCTAGTCTACTAGGCCTACATCATATAGGCCTATGCGTGACATATGTCCAAGCACTCAGTGTTGTCTTGATTTCATGATTCCAGCGTAGACCGCACCTCCATTATGTCATTCTATAAATTTGGGGTCCAAGCTGAGGCCATGTCCGAAACGGGCTTCCAGAGCTTCTCCACGCATTCAAGGAGTGAAGACGTAGACCTAGCTCTAGACCAGAGATTCGGATGCAGCCTTAGACTATTACACCTGACCTGTGATTTGACACGTCAGTAAACTCGATTTCAAACGAGACTATTTCTATTTGTTTGGGGGAGAGTTTTCTCAGATTAGTGGCGTCCATGCATAGGCCAAGTCTATAAAAAGTATAAAGAGGGCTACGGAATCATCTCTGTTTGAGATGAAAAGTGGCGTCATCAAGAGTCCATGGGAGTAAAAGCTTTCTGAGTGGGCGGAAGACTTCCACGAGACTGTAAATCTACTTTCGAAAGTGTAACTTACATCACTAAAATAAATTTCCTTCGCCGCCACGTAAGCGCTTTTTCACTGAAATTGTGATATTGTCAACATTTTGCATGCAGCGCGCGGCGTCCAAATGGTACAGCGCCCTCATGTACAACAACTGGCGGCAGCCAGGGAGGGGGCTGGAAGGGGAAAGTGGAAGGGGATTATGCGCCACGAATCTATGTCCAGTAGAGCTACATCCAGGTCTTCGCCAATTACAGATACGTAGGGTACGTGCCAATAACACACGTGATCCAGGCTTTTGAAGGCCTTTTCCGCCGTGACCTCGTCTTGACATACAGGACTGAAGGCCTTTTGCCAGTGCTGGTGCCGCGTGGCCTTTCGAAAGTACATGCACCCCTAGTGTGCCTTCAATAATTAGCGGCTCCACGTACCTCTAGTAATTAGACTCAACGAACCAATTTTGAATGGGTTATTCTTGTAAAACTACCTCTGGTCATCCCGAAAAAAGTCGTGTCCACTAAAGATAACTGTTCAGACATACGAAATGAGCCAATAAACTTTCCTTTTCTTCCATGAATTTGCTGAAAAGTAAAACAAAGTATTATGGCCCAAAATAATTTAATACAGATTATAATCAACAAGGTTCACTTCTGATTTATCATAGAGTTTCTCTATAAGACAATTTTGTACTTGAAGACTTACCGTCTGTTGCGTACGTGTGTCGAAGCAGACTGAATGGTGCTAAAAGCAGTACCCAATGCAACCCCTTCATGATTGCCATCGCTTCTGAGTGCAGGTGGCACTCTTACAACACCTTACTTTGTCAGTTGTCCAGGTTCCACTGTCTGCAGTCGTTGTCACTAACATGACACGAGCTAAAGAAATCTCTGCATTTCCGCTTCCCAGGCCAGCAATCAAGTGTTGNCCGCTAGGAGGGCTTGGCAACATTCACTTTTTGGGGGGTGAGTTTGTTTAGGGCGGATAATTAAAAAATTCATTGGTTAACCTACTAAAAATTGAAAATCAAATGAAATCTGAAGGACCAAAAAACACATTGATTTTTGTTTGAAAGGCCTCAGGGACTTCAGTTGCCTGCCATGGGGCTCCAAACTTGGTTGATTTTACACTTTTTTCAATGGTGCTTGAATTAGTTCAGTGCACCCCTAAGGCCATGTCCGAAACGGGCTGCCAGAGCTTCTCCACGCATTTATAGAGTGAAGACGTAGACCTAGCTCTAGACAAGAGATCGGATGCAGCCTTAGACTTTTACACCTGACCTGTGATTTGACACGTCATTAAACTCGATTTCAAACGAGACTATTTGTATTTGTTTGGGGGAGAGTTTTCTCAGATTAGTGGCGTCCATAGGCCAAGTCTATAAAAAGTATAAAGAGGGCTACGGAATTCTGTTTGAGATGAAAAGTGGCGTCATCAAGAGTCTGCGGGTGTAAAAGCTTTCTGAGTGGGCGGAAGACTTCCACGAGACTGTAAATCTACTTCCGAAAGTGTAACTTACATTACTAAAAAAAATTTCCTTCGCCGCCACGTAAGCGCTTTTTCACTGAAATTGTGATATTGTCAAAATTTGCATGCAGCGCGCAGCGTCCAAATGGTACAGCGCCCTCATGTGTACAACAACTGGCGGCAGCCAGGGAAGGGGCTGGAATGGGAAAGTGGAAGGGATTATGCGCCACGATCTATGTCCCTTAGAACATCCAGGTCTTCGCCGATTACAAATACGTAGGTTACGTGCCAATAACACACGTGAACCAGGCTTTCGAAGGCCGTTTCCGCCGTGACCTCGTCTTGACATACAGGACTGAAGGCCTTTTGCTAGTGCTGGTGCCGCGTGGCCTTTCGAAAGTACATGCATCCCTAGTGTGCTACTCCACGTAGGCTAGTAATTAGACTCAACGAACCAATTTTGAATGGGTTATTCTTGTAAAACTACCTCTGGTCATCCTGAAAAAAAGTCGTGTCCACTGAAAATAACTGTTCAGACATACGAAATGAGCTAATAAACTTTCCTTTTCTTCCCTGAATTTGATGAAAAGTAAAACAAAGTATTATAGCCCAAAATAATTTAATACAGCTTAAAATCATCAAGGTTCACTTCTAATTTATCATAGAGTTTCTCTATAAGACAATTTTGTACTTGAAGACTTACCGTCTGTTGCGTACGTGTGTCGAAGCAGACTGAATGGTGCCAAAAGCAGTACCCAATGCAACCCCTTCATGATTGCCATCGCTTCTGAGTGCAGGTGGCACTCTTACAACACCTTACTTTGTCAGTTGTCCAGGTTCCACTGTCTGCAGTCGTTGTCACTAACATGACACGAGCTAAAGAAATCTCTGCATTTCCGCTTCCCAGGCCAGCAATCAAGTGTTANCTTCTCACCGGAAAATCCTGTCCTTGCAGTTGCGAAAAGTTCCGTACCATGCAGTGTCCTGTTGAAAAGTCGCCGTCAATTCTATTTTTGACATTGAAACAATATAATGGCATTTTCCTGTTTAGAATAGGCCCGCGCGGGCAGAAAATGTTTCTTAAATACCATTATGTAAAAATTAAGAAAAAAAAATCGGAACAAAAACCTCACAGCTCAAGTGGCAGTGTTCGAGATATAGCCGAGTCCATACCAAGTCCACAGCATCACAAATCATCCGGTAGTGACAGTTGGGAAGGTGGCATTGCTGGTTTTATGAAAGGACTTGCGACTAGACTTAAAGAGGACATGAAAAGGAGGCGTGGCGAAAGGGGAATTAGAACAAAGGGGTGTGAAAGGAGAGTTTGATCAAACAACTGGGCAGAGGATGGTGGACGTATCGAGGGGCGCTTTCTAGAAAGAGGTGATGAAGGGGTAGTGCATTCGAATTCATTTATGTCTGGCGAGCTTTCAACACTGTTTTGATAGCCTAAGGAAGAGAGTGAACAAAGTACATTTAGAACTACATGGTCGTACTTCTTTCTGGTATCTTTTGGTGACATAACGTTTTATATACCCATCAAGCGCGGTGCCGGTAACGAATTTTTTTTGGGGGGGGTTAAGCCAAACTCAATAAAACCAGTAGGCTATCTGAAATGTAATTAGCGCCCTCTTGAGATGTATAACAAAAGTCACGACGAAGATGGATGACGCGGCTCTCTGCTGATATTTTCTACTGGTGACGAGAAGAAAGTTCCTGGCGGGGGTTCAAGGTAGCTGATAAAGCATACGGTAGGAAGAAGAGGCCCCAGATAATTGACAGTCCTTAAGTTCATAAGGTTACGCCTACGTCGTTAGACTCCAGACTAATCCTCACACAATGGATGACGATTGAATGGGCTCAATGAACCGTTGCATTGTTGTGAACAATAACGTACGTGAACAACAACGTGAATAGCACCATGCATCATCATTACTGATCACATAGGCCTACGAGGTCTAATCACTACCTCTAGACTATGGTCTGCCAAATTGTTAAAATAAATATCTTGGAAGTTTTATGATGTTGGCCAGATGTTAAACTGAGCACAAATGGAATGTCAAGCTTGCTGTCATGGCAGCATAAGTCAAAGATCTCTTTTTGGCTTCTTTAAAATTTATACCCTGGCTGGGGGTTCCTGCCATGCCGTGGCATACCCACTTGGCCCCACATCACATCATGGTACATGGTCTAGGCCTGCTACAGGCTACATACATGTAGATATAAATATGTTGGCCCTTAGCCGTATCTTAAATTACAATATATTTCATGTATAATGAGGCCTACTTTTTATTTAGCAACTTCAGCGAGGTTCATTTCCCAATTGTACCGCCCAAAAAAAGGTTGCTAAAGTGTCAGTCTGGTACCATGGTAACAGAAAACTTTACCTTATCCTTGCAAAGTCCAAACACTAGATAGAATTTGGTTCCTGACCTACCACCACTTGTCTACAAGTAGCTTGTCTTTCAAACTATCCTACTGAATTGAATATGCCTGCTACACAAATAAGTAATTGTTAAAAACATGTTTTCTGTGATTTTATCTTTTCAAATAAATATGGAAGCATGCAAATCGAATGCAGTGTCATTTGTCCTCAGAGCTCATCTATAACAAGCGAAAAAGGGCTTTTTTTTTTGTTCATGCCAAGATGCGCATTCTGAATGTAGATTGCGTCATTCAAAGAAAACAGAGAAAACAAGGGGAGTTGTTGCCCTGTGTTCGTAGAATACATGTAGCCATTGTTTGGCATGCACAAGGGTTTATCCACTGCAAACACAGGGCGAGGGTTCCATTTGTTTTCTCTAAATGATGCAATCTACATTCAGAATTCGCATCCTGGCATGAACAGAAAAAAAAAAACGCATAGAGCTTCCCCGACGGCAAACTGGTTTGTTTTTCCACCCGAATTATAAAAAACTGCAGGATAACGTAGACAACTTTTACGTTTGTCATCTCTGGTTATTTATGTACTCGATTCAGTTCAGAAAATCTGTTCCCGCCATTGCTGGATTGAAACGGAAGAATTTAGGGGTTCAGCTGACGGCCTATTTTAAGCTCGTGATAGTTGAGTTCTGAAGACAAATGACACTGCGTTCGATTTGATGAGATAGAATCAGAGAAACCGTGTTTTCCTTAGAGGTGCCCTTTAAAACTAGATCCATCTTTTATTCTGGGAGGGGGGCATTATAAAGAAAAACTACAGTCACTTCACCACAGAGCAGAACGTCTTCATAGGCCCTACTTGATTTTTGCAAGATACAAAGGGCTAGCTTGTTTTCTTATTTTCTAAATTACTGATTCAGCTCCACTGAATAAACAACGGTATCAGTGGCAGATGATTGTTTGCCTAACAGTACATCATGCTGCTGCACATTTTAATTAAAGTGAATCAATTGAGATTCAAGATGAAGTTAAACACAAAGTGTGGGCTGTGGCAGATTGTGTAATCTACCTTGTCACACTTGTTTTTCCAATTAAGTTTTAATTATGTTACACTGTCCTTCATCATTAGATATGCAGGTGTCTGCAGCCGCTGTGGACTGTCATCATTTGCTTTTTCTCTCTGAAAGCGCGGCAATAAAATTGGGTTCCATTCAACATTTTGTAATCAATGTGTCCAAAAATGTTCATTTCAACAGTGTTCAGTCTATTCATAATTTTGGTATATAATGGGCGACAGTCCTACACACGGTGAAGATGTCACTTGAGAAAATGACTTTCACTAGTAACTGTACAGTGTTTTGCACGCTTTTTAGAATGTATCAGCTTGTAACTTTTGCGATGGAGTTTGATGGGCAAAGTGCACCAGTTGTAGATATGACTTGCCTACCCTTTTTGTTGTATGAAAATATAGGCCTACTGGTGAAAATTTAATTCACCTTACAAAGGGCTTCTGCTGGCTGGGTTTTTTTTTTTTTTTTTTGCTTTGACAAGTTTGAGTTAAAAATTTTGCCAACTGTCTGGTCATCTTAGTACTGCATAATATGCCTGACAAACACGAAGAGATTAAGACTCCCAGTCAGATTTTGCACATATGTGGTTGTTGAATGAGGGTCTTGTCAATGGTACCTCACGCTAGGGTGTTTCTGTACAACCGTTAATTAATTCATAGTGCATTGATGACTCTCCAAAATTATTCAAAGGTTACAAGGAAGGAACAATGTTTTGTGCTTGCATGGCCCAAAAGTCAACAAGTAAATGAGATGCAGGCGAAGACTTTGTCAGGGCAGAGTGGTGCATGATTTCTACATTTGGACTTGCTGTCAGAAGGACTGTTCTTCAGAGGTGGTAATGGTTGTGCAGGATTGAGTCTGAATTACATCTGTACAATTCATGTACCTGATTATATTTTTTATGGAGATAAATCAAATGTAAGTATTCAGGGAATTTCTTTTAATCAATGTGTCAGAAGCATGTATGTTCTCTGTGTTAGTTTGTCAACGAGATAAACCCTTACCCTCCTGGATCCTTCAAAATCCATCAGGAGGACCTGGAGAATTTTGGAGGATTGTCATTACTGAGACAACTTTTTGGCCTTTTAAGGACTTACATATCAAACAAAGAATGACATGTACATGTACTGCTCCCTTTAAAACATGTTCAAACAGTGAAGTAGGTACAACACACCTAAAACACATTAGTCTCAACAGAACCAACACTTTGGCCAGAATAGTTTAGCAGAATTGCATCTATGGTAGTTAATTTTCTGTTTGGTTTTGCTTTTAGACGGCAATGACTGCAAAAGTTGAGAGTGCATCAGCTCAGATGGCCACCAAGATAGCCCAGGAGGCGCAGGCCGGGCTGGCTCGCTCCAGCCTCTTTGACATGGCCCCTCGGCCCCACAACACGGGCTCCAAGAGCTGCGTCTCCCTGGCTGTGGCCCCCGTGCACGATGATGAGGAGGAGGAGTTTGCCCCGAGGCAGAAGGTGGAGTACGAGAACAGCTACCGGATGGAGCCGCCCAAGAGGTGAGACCCTGGTCTGGCATACTTTCTAGCAAACGTTAATGAAATTACTGGTTTAGAAAGCAACAATGGTTGATAGAAATGACAAGCAGTGTGTGCTATGAATGGGGTATACATGGGGAAAAATCTCAAAGCATTTCATTCATTTGAGTCGCAAAAGAGGAAAAAAATTTTAATCCAATTAATTTTGAATTGGCTCATTGCAGCATATATCAATGAAAATATTGCCAAATGAATCTAGCATTAAAAAAAAACAGGGAAAACAAGGATGAAATTTCCCTCTGTTGATTTAGGATATCATGCAGATATTTACGTACAAATGATGTGCAGGTTCTTTTGGTACAAATTCCTGAACTCGTTGAGTGCAGGTTTGTTCCCGAGAGGGTGAAGCAGATACTATGCGACACGCTGGAGAAAGAACTGGCCAACATGACCTACGAGCCCGTCTCCTGCAGCACGCAGTGCAAGAGCATCGCCCAGGAAGTCAAGCTGAGAGTCAGGGCACTGGACTACCAACGATTCAAGGTAAGGTGGGATGCTACAGCTGCTAGGGAATAACTTCCACAGGCCTGAGTGCTATTCCTGGACTAACTTCCACAGGCCCGAGTGCTATTCCTGGACCAACTTCCACAGGCCTGAGTACTATTCCTGGACCAACTTCCACTGGCCCAAGTGCTATTCCTGGACCAACTTCCACAGGCCCGAGTGCTATGTCTGGACCAACTTCCACACGCCTGAATGTTATTCCTGGACCAACTTCCACAGGCCTGAGTACTATTCCTGGACTAACTTCCACAGGCCTAAGTACTATTCTTGGACCAACTTCCACAGGCCTGAGTGCTATTCCTGGACCAAGCCACGTAATTTTGACAGGGCCTTGTGTTGGTTTAAGAGTGAAGACTCAAAGTCAAGCTTGACTGGTGATAGAAAGTAGCATCTCGCAGTGACCAATATGACTAGCCTCTCCTGTCGAGGCATTTTCAGAAGGAACCTTCAAAATCCTCTTCTGAAAGGGTAACCGGCAGTTCAAACTCTCAAGTCACGTTAGGTCCCATTGTAAAGTGTTAGCACTCTAACTTCCAAGTGAATCAATCCCTACTGTACAATACTTGCAGCTTTCAAACAGGCACCAAGTCCCACTGTGAAGTATGAACACAGCTGGGCTGTCTGTCTCAGGCTGGCAATATCCTCCCAACTTTCTGTTGAGTTTGTTTATGGGCAGGTTTAGGGGTAAGTGTTCACCTGTCTTTAGCTGCTGGCATTCACTCTCCAACAGTTCCACAAAACAAAGTCCGAGCATACCTAACTTTTAAAACTTTTCTCCTGGAGATTAAAAATAAAATGAGTGTAAACCCGAATCTCCTGGCAATTTGGCAGTAATTAAATCCAGTTATTATTATTTATCATTGAACTTTCATTGCAACTTTTGTCTTTCTGTTTTTGAATTGGTGCTGTGTCAGCTGGTCTGCATCGTCAACATCGGCGAGAAGCGGGACCAGGACGTGAGGCTGGGCAGTCGCTGCCTGTGGGATGCCAACAGGGACAATTTTGCCTGTGCTTCCTACGAGAACCAACACATCTATGCCACAGCCACCGTGTACGCAGTCTACTACGAGTAGAGCTGAAACCCGCCACCGCAGTCAGATGGCTGAATCTAAACGTGGATGCCTTTTCTACTCCTCTTTTCGACTGGACAAATGTCAAGTCCTGTGAATTTGGAGGCTCTTTTTAAATTCTGGTTGGAACATTGAAGGGCTAAATATGGTTTCTTGGTCAAGAGATGAAGCGTCAGCTGGAAATGCACATTTCCAAAGTAGTTCTTCAGCCTTAAAACTGGATTCGTTGGCACTGTGCATTCATGCAGGGAAAAGACTATTGTTTTTACAGTGTACACATTTCAGTATACCACACTCTGTGATTGATACAAAGATTTGTGCAACTCAGGAACCAACTAAACTACCAAAAAGGGTGCTGTAAAAGGTAATTAAAAGCTCTTTTTAGGAACCCAGTCGTTTATTGATGGACAAAACAATATTCATTACAAAATCGGGCAATACGTTTTTCATGCTTAAATTGTTGAGATTGTTAAGGTTTTTTTTCTTGCAATACTACTGTTGTCACACTTCCATGACAGCAACGAACCTTGTGAAGTTTTTAAGACGAAAAAGTTGTACGGTATAATGTGCATTCAGTAGGCTGATGATGCATTGACTATAATATGCGGTGCATCCAATGCTACAGTGCAGAGGTGAGGTTGGATATGAGCTCTGTTTGGAAGCACCCCCCTTGGTGGTGAAAATGAGAGAGGCTGAGCTGACATGCAGATGCTATGGCTGCAATGCACCCATCACCCAAGCAGAGTCCCTGTGGGTTTGTGCACATTCAGATCGTTTGGTCTCCTGACTGCACGTGCATGAAAAACTGCACTGTGTTGTTGGCCACGAGGGAAGGACGGCCGTTGTTGCCAGGTAGCAGAGTGCCCTCTCTTGTTCATGAACAAAGTCCATATAAAGAGTTGACACTGCAAACTAACCAAAAAGAAAAATAAAGATAATTTTTTTCGTAAAGGTAATTTTTGTCATAAGAGAAAACATATTCAGATGACTAAGTATCCCAATGTTTGTAATAATTGCCAGAGTCCCACGCAGTCTGTGGGGTCATTAAAGATCATCTGAGCAATTGTGGATTCTGCATAAGGACAACTCATGTACACGGCAGTTTGTGGCTGTCACACAAAGGCCGTTATGCAAGAGACCACATTTCGTTTGAATGTGTACAAACCCAAGGCATTTTTCAACTTGTCTGACAAGCGGCAGTGTACAAATTGTCTGCCTTAGTCTCTCCCCATTGAAGGGGTACTTGCGCTCAGTCTCTCACCTTTGGACAAGAATTAATGCAATATAATAGGCAAATAATTTTAGTTTCCGATGTTAAACCTTTGCCATGCCTTATTTCCAGAAGTGAGCTTCACCTTTTTGAAAGACACCCCCCTCTGGTACGGAATATGCCAAGTACATTTTAGTGCAATGCAAACTGGGTTCCAAATTGGCAGAGCTTGTCACCTCAGAGTGGGAAACTGACAAATAATGCTGATTGCTATTTTCACAAACGTTCGAGTTAAGTGTACTCCTGTTGTCTTGCCTTTATATATAAGTACTGTATTAGAAAAAAAGTATTCATATACAAGAGCAGTTTTGCACATTCTTTAGTTTGTAAATTTCTTGTTGACTGTTGTATTGTATCTTATTGTTGCTGTATATGCATAGTTCAGATGGTTTGGTTGTTGTACCAGCACTTTGCAACAGATTCCTTGCCATTTTCAACAATTCACTGGTTTACTTTTAGCTTGGCCAATATGTTTTGGATGAATTTAAGGTAGATGTTCAGTGTCTAAACACTCCTTTTGCACAGTGTTTCAATCTTAACCATTTGCTGCAATTTTAAAGTGAATTAAGTGTCAAAAGTACAGATTTCACCTGCTGGCTGCAATAGATTGGGTCAAAATTTGACCCCAAATCATCCGTACAATGGAGCTTGAAAGACTCCCTCAGTACTCAAGGGCAAATTACATTTCCATGTTTGAATGAGTTAATATTGTAGAGCTTGTACAGATCCTGACAAGGATGTTTGTTTTAAAGAGTTTAATTTGCAATATATCAATTCAGTTTCATTATTCTCTGCAGTATTACTCAGATTGGTTTACTCGTACGGTATACATTGTGATTTATTTTACCAGCATGAGCACTTCTCTGTGCATTCAAAATCTTGCCAGCTTTAATGCAATATATCCAAGATGGTTTTGAGTTTACTCAGCATAATTTTGTTTTACAATTTCCATTGTCTGACAGTGGTAATAGTTTGTTCAGCCATTTAGAATATGTTTAAATGTGCAGTCATGGCCGTAGTTTTAGAATAAGAAATCATCTAATGGTAGGTTGGCTCCAGCAGCTACGTGTACATCTCTGAGAGAGAGAAAAAAATTAGATCCAAATTTACAGTTCGCAAATCCCCTGAAGTTGGACACTTTCAACTTTGACAGATTTTGCAGGAAATTCGTGTTTCACTGTGAAAACTGGCTTTCGAAATTTTAAGGTACTTGTTTTCCAGTGAAGTGAGGGCAAGTCATGCTTTAAAATTGCAAGGCCAGGTTGAGCCTCTGAATAGCTGCCCAACTTGGTGGTGTCAACTAGTCAATACAGTTAACATGTAAAGGGATTTTTGTCTACACACATTCAGAATGAGGCTTATGATCATCTGAAGTTAGTAAGAATAACCCACAGGGAAATGGTGCAGTGTTAACATGTCAAGAGGCTGCACTTACGTGTAATATACACAAGTTTCTAGTAATGACTTTCGTCAAATCCTGTTAAGGTTTGTACAAGATGCACTTTGAAGTGATTCGGTTAATTCTCGTTTTAGCAATTCAGTTTTATATCATTTTTGTGTTTATTCTGTTAGTACGAGTTCTAATAGGAAATAAAAGAAACCCATCCAGGGAAAAAAAACACCCTGTTGCTTGAAGAAAGATTCTGATCATACATATCTGAAACAGGTATCAAGAAGCTGTATTCTTGATGTGAACATTGACATTTCCACCTATTAAAGTTGTACTCGGATACTTGTAAATGCCCCTCTGAGCAAGTTGACAAGGCATACTATTCCCACCTGTCATGCCGGTTTGGGTGTGTGTGTGTGTCGGGGGAGGGCAGATGTGTTCATCTCTCTTTCAGGACGCCAAAAATAATTACAGGAGACACAGTGACGTTTTTGTGATGGACTCATTTATTCTCGGAGTTTTTTTTTTTAAATTCATTTCTGTGCATCAATTCATTCTTTGAGACGGTGACAAAACTCAGTTTTCAGCATCAATACACCATTGGCAAAATCAGGAAACAGGGTAAAATATTACAACATTATTTCACGCATTAAATGTCCGTTTTAAAAGGGGGAAAACCCAATAGACATGGGAGAGTGCAGGTAGGACAAGAACAAACCTTACCCACTTGCCCTCAAAAACCGAAGACTCATGAATTTAATTTGGGTATACTGTCTGATGAATGGGGATGGGAAGGTATAAGATGTGATTTTGGCTGTCAATAAGAAATAGCTGCATAAATCTGAAGTAGTTTTTAAAGTAGTGCCCTGAGTGAAATCGCCTTTTTCAAACTGCGATTGCGAACCAATGGCAACGCGAGCAGGGTTTCCATCTTGATTGTTTTGATAATACTCTGTGCATGAACCATTTTCACATGACAAATGGGTAGCAGGAGGCAATTATGACTTCAGGTAGTGATTGTGCCGTATGCAATCTAAATCGCAGATTTTAGAGACAAAAATACTATCGAAAATGAGACAAAATAAGATTTTAACCTTAATTTTAAATACTGAGGTTTGCCCAGTATACTGATGTATGCAGTGCATAGCAGTGCTGTCTAGCTGTAAAAATCTTGTCCAATGATGTTAACTTAAAAACTGGCAGCCTACAGTGACAATTTGGGTCCCACGTCTGTTTTTAATCATCTCATTTGGAATTGTATTTGTGGACATTCAAGGACAACTGTTCTTTACGTTTCCTTGCAAGTTCTTGTATGTTATTTGAATTTTTAAAGAAACAACTTTCTCTTTTTTTTGGTGAGGACTGTATTGTGTTGTGAAAAGATATGCAAGCATGCAACATATTCTTACCAATGGTGTACCGTTGTTGAAAACCTACTTAACACTATTTCTGCCTCTAGAATAGTCTGTGAAGATGAAAATCTGAACTTCAGGATACAATTTACATTGTTGCTCCTAACTTTTCTCTACCGACTGAGACCATCTCAAAACAAAGTGCAATTGGCAAAAGTATTGCAAATCTGAACAATATGTTTTGACAAATACAAAGGTTTCTTACACTGGTTTGGAATTTCAATTTCAAATACTTCTGACACTCAAGCAATGCCAAAGTTCTCCCACCCCCCAAAAACCAAAAAAAACACCAAAAATCTGCCACAAGCTCCCCAGAATACACCTTTCAAAATTCAAATTTACATGTAAAAAACCAAGAGCGATTATATGCATAGAAGTTTGTCTGCACAGCTTGTCTTGATTTCCTACCAATGACATCCTTCATAGCATTTTAGTTACCATGCACTGATGACCAATGTTAAGTTATGTCCCACAAACTGCTGTCGCATGATTGGCTGCATAAATGACTACGAGAATTCGAATATCAAATCCCTCATTTTGAGGCCTTCCTGTACTTCTTTCCAGCCAACCTAGGCCCAATTTCAAGGTGCTTTTAGCCCCGAGTGGGGAAAATATCTGCTTAGCAAAAACAGGTTACAAGATAAAAGAAGTCATGCGAAGTACACCTCTTGTAACTGGTTCCCAGTTATTGCTCAGCAGACAAACTTTCCAAGACCATGTCTGAATCATTTGGCTGTGGCTTATATGAGAAGTGGCTGCAGCCACAACCATAGACTTGTGTATGATATCGAGCCACAACCAAGTTCTTTGGATGTGGCCTAAGAACTATTTCTCTCAGGCAGCTTCATGAAACTGGGCCCCACTTGAATACCATGAGCCAGCCTATGTGGGGGCTAGGTATATGATATCAAACACATGCCACAGAACAGTGATTTTTTTATTACTTCAAATTTGGGCTTTTTTAATACTTGAAAGCTCTATTTTAAATTATTCACACTATTTCTAATAAGTCCTCCAATTATTCAAGGAACATAATTCTTAAATATTAATGCAAAATAATTATCAAACAATGTTATGAGGTATAATATAAGATTATATTTTGCTTTCAGAAAACTGAAAACGTCTAATTATATGTACAGTTTGACAGTGTGTCCTGGGTGGTATCTACATGTAGATATACAGCGGTACCTAAAACACACACGCATACTCTGTACAGTGTTACAACCAATATTTACATAATCTTTTACATTATTTATATTACGTTATCTTTGGGAATACCATCCCTACTTTTGCCGAGTCACTCAATCTTCTAATTAATACAACCATGTTTTCTTCAAGTAAATGTACATTCCTGACCTTGGTAGGCCATACAACTTGCATAAAATACTTGACTCGCCAGTGCGTGCATAAAAAAGGTTGGCCAACAGAACTTTACAGGCAAACCCAAAACGAAAGAAATTGCCAATCTTCTTGAGGGGAAGGGGGGGTACAAGCTGAATACAAGAGAGTTGGAACACGCATACCATATCCAAAAAGGAAATAAATCACTTGTCTAATTTTGGGGAACATTTCGAGGTAACAACAGCTGTTTTGTGAGAAAACACCTTTTTTTGGGATTAGTGGTTTCTGCCAACATATGTTCGGAAACTGCAGCATAGAGAAATTTGATATGCCTGGGTTAACATTTGGTAAAAAAAGTTAACCAACCCCCCAAATTCATGCAAATTGTACTGATTTTAACTGGTTTCCAGCTACTGTGTGCTTCACAGCTCAGTGAAATGCACACCAGCATGATTATTCACTCTCAACAGCATGTAAAAATCAATTTCAGCTCATGTACCTCTGGGCAACGATGCCCCTTTGGTGGGAAACACTGTTGTGCGGGCAGGGCATGGAGCAAGCACGATTGGTTTGAATGTACAGTCTTCGCATGGGTACCGACTGCATGCATGCCTTTTTCTCGTTGCGGGGGAGGGGGGACCAAGTGTTCACAAAGCAATTCTGAATCGTGTAGTAAAACTCAGTATCTTTCTAATAAACAGTAAGTTGCCAAAATCCAAAATGGGCAAAGCAGTTACTTCTATGAGCCTTTTTTTTGGGGGGGGACTCCATCCTTATGAATCCAAGTGGAACTGTGGCTTTGAGTTTCTTCTAATGTCTGCCAGTAAACTTGACATTACTTATCCTGCTGTCTATGAGTATAAACTGTGTAATTTATGAAGGTGGGGATTTGACACTCTCAAAGATACCATTACAACCAGGACCCAATGTCATGGCGCTGCTTGCTGCAGAATTCAATGCTTACGATTTTCATTCTGCACTAACCATGCTAGCAGAAAAATTCTCTGCTAACCTTTTAAGCACAGAATCCTTAGTTACAGTACATACGCATACACACAAGCCAAAATTCCTTGCTAACCCATGAAATACTTGCGCTGTAAGCACAGACTTTGCGGTAAGCAGCGCCACGGAATTGGGTCCTGCTGTGATATAACACTGGAATAAATTAATGCTGATGTTTAGAAACACTAGTATACCACTAGCGCACATTTGGAGTTTATTACACAAAATTAAAAAATGGCATTATCAAAATGAACCCCCCGTACTAATACTGTTCAGACACCTCAACCCACGTCGATAGTGTCAAAGTTAAACAGATTCAAGAAAACTGTTTTTTTTTGTGAAAGCCAAGTGGAATTTTTCTCAAGTTCTCAGATGTAACACAGTAAGCAGCAAATGTGAGAAAAAGAAATGACTCAAAAGCAAAAGATGGAAACAGGAATAAGTTACACGTTGGAATTTGGCACAAGAAATCAAGAAATCTGTCAAACAGGTGTTAGTGATTTCATAAACTATATGCATTGTCTAATAAATGCATCGCTTTCAAAGTACAACTCTCAGATGCAACCTACGTCAGGACTGGAACAATTTCTTTCCAGGTTCTGCAGTTTGCTGTACGTGAAAACCTTTGATATTACAAATACTGTCCTTTGGCAATTTTGGACCTGTAAATTCAAACTTAAATGAACAATCTTAACAAGTAAGGAGGCTGCAATCTAATAACTTTCAGTCTTTTAAAACTAGTGCCCAACTAGTGAACCACTTTATTAAATTGGCCATGGCCTTCAATTCTTTTTTTTTACACAAAGGTGATTATACACCTATGTGCCCTAGAAATGTAAACAAAGCACATTATCACCTACAACTCTTGTCCTACCGGTGAAGTTAATCTATTGCTTTGTAGAACAGTTGCCCGAGTGCCTACAGTTTAGAGTTTTGTCACCTTTGACCCAGGAGAAAAATCTAAAGGCCGACAAACAAGTGAAGCCTAACGACAAAGGGTCACGCAGGTTAACTGTGGCTGCAGGTAAGCTGCACTCATCTCATTACACTTTAATGCAGCTCCAAAGGAGGTGTACAGCAGGTTGAATGCACACATTTAATTAGTCTCTGGTTCAGTAGGTCACAGGATGATTCAGTGGTATCCTGTGAAACTCTCGTGTTCAAAGGAAACCAACCACTGTGGCTAGGCGGCATGGCCCTGCCCAACAGTGAGGAGATTGCAGGTGTGTGCAAACATGGATTGTAATAGACTGCACTGGACTTGGGCTTGAACGACACGGCTCCCTTCTGCAGTCTGTGGGTAGGTGAACATCCCCTTTTGGGCAGCTTGTAGGGGCGTGGCCAGCAAGAAGCAAGAAGGGAGGGCTTCAGGGCTCGTGATGCTGCTGGGCAACCTTTCCATGGGTATATCATTTGCCACGTGGGCAGCATTTTCAAGGTGGCAAAGGCTAGCAGACTGAGAAGAGATCGGGGCCACAAATGCCATTTATCCCAAGTTCAAGGTGAAATACCCATTCTTGAAAATTCCTTATTTGTTAAATTGGCTAAAGACGAGAAACGGTGCAAAAAAGTATTAGTCAACAGCTCTTTGTGGAAAACCTGTGCATTTGATAATAAAAAAGAAACAATCCTACAAGAAAATCTGTGTTCAATAAATAGTGTTATTTCTGTTATTTGGCAGCACTTTTTTCAAAATTTGTCAAATTAACTTGTTTGAAAGTACCCAAATGTTGTGACGACTTCCTCTCTGCACATAGTTTACGATAAATAAAACTGCACTAATATTATACACAAGTCGATGAGCATCAATTGGGTGACCATCCTGGCCAGCATTATAAGTCCATCTCCTTTGATGACTTCTCCTTCAGCTTGGCAAATTTGTACTCGCAGGCATCTGTCTCCACCACTTCTGGGTGGGAGAACTCCTTGGAGTTCGCCCTGGTTGGGTCCCTCTTGGCAGGGGTGTTGTTGTCGGCGTTGTTGCGGATGACTTCGGTACCCTCCACTGGCGACATCTCAAACTGGAACTTCTCGTCCTCGTCTGTCTCCTTGATGGTGTCCTCCTCTGAGGTGGGCGTGGGGCTGTTGCGGATCTGGCTGTTGTACCAGTCCCGGTTCTCCTCCAGGTTGTCCAGGAGCTCTTGGGCATCCGGATAGACCAGGTCGGCCCACGTCTCCCACAGTGGGTGCACGATGAAGTCAATGAAGCCCACCTGTTTACCGATTAGCAGGGAAAAATGTTACTGGTTCAGAGCTCTGTCGAGTTGACAAGGGGAAAGGAGAAAAAAATAGGAGTGAGGCCAAGAAGGGCCTCTGCAGACAATGATACTACCAGGAGCATGCTAGAAAGTATTGTGAGGGACGATCAACAGTGCAGACAGCAGACCAGTGCACAGTGCAGGTAGGCCCTGCACAGCACAGTTGAGCAAAGCAGAGCTAGAATATGGCCCAGCAGTGGGTAAGCCCAGTGGTGCTGACCACAGATGACCAGTGCAAGGCAGGGGAGTGCAGCCCAGACAACGGCAGGGAAGAGCAGAGCTGTGGTGGCTGGAGGTATGTCTCAACTGAAGCACAGCTACATTGTCTTCAGCACGATGGCACCTACTCGTGCAGAACAATGCAACACAAAGACTCGAGTTGTGAAGAACATAACATGGGTATGCACAGCAATGAGGAACAGAACACTCTGTTACAAGCAAAAAGCACAGCACAGAAGACTAGTGTAAAGCAACACAAAGCAGAGCAAGACTGCCAATGGGATGAACAAAGATCACGGCAGAAATATGAGGCAGGGCAGGCCAGTAAGTTACAGAGATGAAACAAGCCAGATATGGCACAGCGGAGCTACTGAGTAAAAGTAAACATTGTTGTGCTGGTGAAAATACCAGTTCAAAGTCAAGTATGACAAAGGTTTGAAAAGCTGACATCTTTAACCAAATTCACCAAGGAGACAAGAACCTCTAAGAAATAATAACAACATGAAATCTTCTGTTTGAGCAATGGCAAATTTCTTCTCTGACTCTTGCAAGTTATTTTGGCAGAGCAGATACCATTCCATTACAGTGTGTGACATTTTAATGTTAAAAGAAAACACTCCTTGCATTTCTTTTTGGAATTCTCTTTCAATGCTTGGGAAAAAAGTTTGACCAGTGGCCCAGCTTTCTAATGTTTTCTTGATTTGGCCACTCTCAAATTCCTTAAGAACCTGTTTAGGAAGAGCAAAATGTTCCCAGATGAACATTATTCAGAAATTTAAAACGTACCAGAAGACAGCCAGTTACAGGTCAATGTATTGGAAACACACAGAGACGAGCGGACAATAGTGGAAGTGGCTTTCAGACATGACCAACACTGCCTTCCATAATAAATATCCTTCCATAAAATATTATGTTCTGTTAATAAACTGCTGACAATTCTTCTTCACTTGCCAAACCAACTATGATAAGGTTGTTCGTTTTCATGCTCAGATTCTCAAAAATCAAATATATATAAATGGCATACATGTACACTCACTCTTTTCTGATATTGACAACTATTCTTGTAAGTTCCTCTTGAAAAAAAAATAAATTGCCACAAATTTTTTTCCAGTGTAACAAAATCACAGAAGACTTTAAAAAAAAAAAAGAAATGAAGAATTTGATTAAACTAAGTGCAAATCGGCTTACACTGTGACGCAGCAGGGCAGAGCGGAAACTACTTTATGGACAAGTTAGTGTGCCATCTTTTGCCCAGACTTACCTGGGACTTCTCGATGGAGGCATTGTACCGATCCATCATGGGGCTGACGTCCATGCCCTTCTGCCTCTCCAGGTCACCCTGCAGGAAGAACTCCTCCATCACCCGCTCTGTCCACTTGCGGTAGATGTCCAGTGGACGGGTCGGGTTCCCCAGATCGGCGCAGTGGACCAAGTTCTTTAAAACCTGGGAAGTGGAGACAGGGACGGAGGGAGTATATGAATCAATTTGTTTGCATTGTCGGGCCAGTGGACAGCTCTTACCACTCACAATTCATCCACATCCATTCCTTTTGTAAAGTACTTTGATGAACTCATGGTTGGCAGGCCTCAGGTGACCGACTATTGATGGAGTATGATGGATTTGGTCCAGGACGACTAAAGCACTTCAGGGGCATTCGGTGCAGTTTGCCATGGCAACAGCACTGAAGACGTTGTGTAAGCCATGTGTAATAGGCTCAACAGCAAAGACCATCACATCAGTGGTGACTTTTGAGGTAAGCAATGTGGATTGCACAGGGAGGATTTGATTTTTGATGGATTTGATTCTGTGCCCACTAAATACACTAGGGAATAAGGGTTTTTAAATTAGCAAAGGACGGACACATTTGTGTCACTCCTAAAAAGTATGATTAAGACCAGGACACTGATATTTCTCCGTAATGACAATCTACAGTAAATCAGTCAGTACAATCTTTTAAAATGGGTTCTTAATTAAAAAAAACAAACAAAACCACGAGGTCCAACTTCCAGGAAGAAATTACTACTCGGCAAATATCAGCTGGGAACCTGTGACAAGAGGTGACATCTTGACTGGAAACCTGTTTTTCTTTGGTTTTTGTGACACTTTCTAAAACTGATGAAATGTGTGACGAAAGTCACTAGTATGGAATGATACTTCCCCCTGACATTACTCAGTTTTAATCTCTTGCACCATGATTTGGAAGGGATCATTTCTTTGTCCTACTAAAGGCAGTGAGATTGTGAATTCAAGAGATGTAATACTCTTACCATCATTCTGTCGTTGTAGTTGTCAAGTAATAACACGCCTGACCCTGCAACTTTCTTGGACTCCACCATAGTTTTCAAGTCGGCCAGCAAGCTCATATGCTTGGACATGTCTGTTGCTAAAACCTGGGAAGAAAAAAGAGACATTTCATTTAAATGTGAGATTTTTCAATACTACATATAAACATATCACAAAAACCATATGACATTTTTGATGAGATGTTTTTCTCTTCGAGTCTTGCCACCCTACTTTTAGTTGTAAGCTAGCTTAGAAGGCAAAACCCTTTATAATGTAGAGTTCTTACTCTTTGAAAACCCTCCCAAGCTTAGGACAAGTGGTTGGACTCCAATAAGTGACATGTTGGCCTTTCAGAGCAATGCAACGAAACTCTTCATTACGTGACTACCTGGACCCTCAAATTGCTTCTGGGTCTCAAATAGTGAAATTAAAGTGGTGTTGAAAATGGGCACTACAATTAATCCTACGATTGCTTCTTACTCCAACCAAAATTAAGACATCAAACCCCCAAAACAGGTGATCAGTTTGGGGGCAACTGAGGCTCAGCCTTTTCATTTTTCTGAAACTCAGTTGTCCCCAGTAGTCTTTCAGACCTCACGTTCAGTTGAGTTTTTCCTCAGGAGGCCCCTCAGCCCCTGAGGCCCCTCAGCACAGGCAAACAAGACCACCTCTTACACAAAGGCCAAATTGAAACAATCTCATTTTGGGGAGAAAAAATGTATGTGAGGTGAGAGAGAAACACAAGAAAATTGTATATGGAAAGAAAACGGGGAAAAAAAGATGAGAAGCTGAGTCATACTGCTATAGGGTAGACCAAGAAAGGGTTACAGGAAACACAATCAGAACATGACACATGATGAAATGCGAGAAGGCGACAGACGCGAAATGAGAGAGCCCAGAAGAGACAAGGTGAGACGAGGCAAAACAAGACAAGATATGAAATGCAAACAGAGGGGAAATGTAATGAGACTTCCGGCGACAAGACAGGAAGAAGGACGGAAAAAAGCTAAGGATGGTCCGATAAGATGAGACGAGATGAAATAAGAGAAGACAGGAGACAACGTAGAAGCCTGAGATGAAAAAATGAAATGATACCAGCAGGTATCATTTCATTATCATTATCATGAGAAAGCACATCACAAGACCCAGACCAACAATGAAAAATTAGAGTCCCAAAAAGTATAATTACATCACCACGGTTGCCACATGAAGCATAAATTTGATCATAAGGTATTTCACCAAGGATTACAAATTTATGCTAAGCTTGTAAGTACTAATTCTGTCATTGATTTTGTAAGAGCAGAAAAGGCACGTACTATTTAAATTATTACAGCAAATGAGTCAGATGTGAGATCTTAGTGGCTAGTGGAGTCAGACAAGCACTTAAATTTCTAACTGTCGAAAGAAACAACACACCAAAACCTATAACACCATCTACTGAGCAAATTTCTGAGACAAATCTTCGTGAGCTGCGAGGAGGTAAACGCAACTCACCATGTCGATGACTAATCTCCTGAGCTGCTGTAGCTGCTTTTTGGTGAGTGTCTCAAACAGGTTGCAGTTCTCAAGCTGCAGTAACTTGAATGCCACCGCTAATGAGTGGTTCTCCAGGACTGACTCGTCATTGTATAGGATGGCAAGCTCCGAGCCTTTTGGAGACAATTGAAAACAAAACATATTGGCAGATGTTCCGATTACACCCAATAACTTCCAAGAAATGAGCGTATTCAGACAGGAACAATAAAAAGAATTAAGGTCAATAGAACATGGTCTAATGCTTAATCATGCAAGCTCTGTGATGGTACGAATTGATGTGAGGCTGGGGGAGGGGGTAGATCAGTGTCAAGTGAAGCAGGATGGGATTTCCCATGATGCCTTGCATGACGGGAAAGGAGGAAATCAAAGGAAGGGTGGTGGTGCAGTTACAGTTCAGTCCCATGTACATGCTAACCATGATTAAGAACAAAAAGTGGAAGTCCAACCATGGGACTTTTCCAGAGGAAATGGGTCAGCCGTCATGCCGTTCAACAAAACTGGTCATTCTGAGATAAGCATAGAGAGGCTAGAGCATCGTGTCATAAAAAAGGACTTACTTGATGCGATGAGGAATTGGTTATTCAATCCCGGATGGCGCACATCATGTATTGCTGCTGCATATATCGCTGCTAAGATTTCAATGTCGGTGAATACATTCTGAAGTGAAAAAGAGGTCATGAAAGTGGGAAAGATTGATAGAATAATAAGGGCAACTGATTGGTAGAGATATCTCCGAAATTCCAGTTTGGAATCCAGGTTACATGTAGGTTGGAATTTGGTATCTGGGTCTGTTATGAAATCAAGGCAAGTATGTAGTTCATGACACAGGTCATTACAGCACTGTTATCAAAGGAATGTAATCAAAGTAAACATCAGATTTATTTATGACATATGGCTTATTTCTCACATCATTTAATTTCATAATATTGCTGATCTTGCATCTTGTTTTTTATTTCCAGATGTGGAACTCGACAGATAGGAAAACAAGAGAATTCAAAGTTGTAAATAAAATATAAAATATTGTCAACAGCACTAACAAGCAAAACCACAGAACAATGGTATAATTGAGGGAATCTGGAGAAAAGTTGCAAACTTAGAACTTGTAAATGAATCCCCTTTCCTTCTTAAAACCAGCTTAATACTTTCAAACTCAGCACTTTCAAGTCCACTACTGCTTTTCGAGAGCAAGTTTGTGACCTCTCCAGATACAATTATTCTAAAATAAACAATCTTGTATGCTATAAGAAAACAACAAAGGCTGAAAATGCTAGCCACTTGCCATTGGCGAGATTTCAGTTCTGGTGAAATTTTGGCTACTATGGTTTAATACCCAGATTTAAACCAAATATAAAAACATACAGCAAACTACCTCAAGTGCTGGCGCTGAAAGAAGGTAGTTGGTTGACTGGACGACGTCTGCTGCATGAATCTGGTTGTGGTATTTCACATCTTTATTATAGTTGTCCTCTAATGTTCTGATGTATCCTATTAATGTCTTTGGGGGGATCTGAAATGTTTTCAGTAAGCCTCTTTCCTAAAAACAAGAAAAAATGAAGCATCTTTGGTTCACACAGAGTCGTATACACATTTTGGAATTCAATTTTTGAGGGCAAGCTGTACCCAAAGACTCCTTCCAGAGGGAATAGACATTTGAAATTTTGAGAAGAATGAAAACCAAACACTGTCAGATTTCTGAAAGTGTATGCTTTTGAAGTAATAAAAGGCTAAACTTTATACATAGTTAACTTAATATAATGCCCTTCAAGTTGACGGAAACTGAAACTTGGATAGGTGTTAAAGAGAATGAAGTTTGAACTGGAAAGATTTATGCCGAATCCTATCCAACAGGACTTACATGGCTAAAAATAAATGATCATGCCCTGAAGCTTGCAGAAATTTTGACACAGAAATTAAGCCAGAGGGCAAACAGTGAAAAGGTTTTTGCAGTGCAACATAGGATTTGCGACCACTTCATACATGTATGCCACAAGACACGGGCACTTACTTGAAGAATTGTATATGTGACGGCCGTGAGGGGTTTGTGGTTTGTAAGGTCATCGATTTTAAAAGCATCAAATCCCCACCGGTCCACATGGGCCATTTCCTGTAAAGGATGGAATGCAAATAGGAACAAGGTCAGCATTGACATAGATATCAACCCGCAGGGGAAAAATACGACAAGGCTTAATTAAAGTTTCAGACAGCACGGTCCTTGGTCTGTTATAGGCTTTACTATCACTCATAAAGATAATGCAGCTCATCGTTTCTGTTAAAGCAATGTGTGGCTCACTCTCAAAGGCAATCTTGTGGGACGAGACTGTTTCAGGAGCCTGCACGCAAGAGGGAAATCTACTGCAAACGCATGCATGAGTGCCTTTCTGTGAGTGACCAAATGAGGGCAATGATAAAGGAATCTCTGGTGAAAGGACAAAATGAAAATGCAGTATGCCATCAAGCTTTTCCCATTTCTTTGAGGTGCACTGAAAAAAATATTGCCACCCGTGAGACAATCCCTTTACACATGGACTCAGACGTTTGCACGTGGTGCTGCACAAAACCATAAAGAACAGACGGTTGACTGAGGATGTCAACATTTAAATCGGAAAGTAGTCTCTCTGAGGTAGACATGAAGAAAGCCTGCTGAGTTATATGTTGCTTTTACATGTAAAAAGAAAAGCAAAACAAGAGGGCAAGCTACTAGTACTTAATAATTCAACAGCAGGCATAAAGATTATCAGAGTAAGTCTGATGTATGTATTGTGACTATGTGTCGGGAATACGGGCGATTCACAATAGTGCACCACCAAGAGTCCGCAAAGCATTGGCTAATCACAATGCCCAAAACCTGTCGACCCAATGCGCGTCGGAAAGGGTCGACAGATTTCACTCGTTGTGATTGCCGACTCATGGGGGCGCACTATTCTGAATCGCCCGTATTTAACCACTTGCTGACTTTATGAACTTGTCCCAGATTCTGTATTAGTTTCAGCTGAAGATACCATGTTTCTTTTATAAATGACAAGGTACCATAACCACGGTCCTTTACAACGTTGGACTTTGCCAATGCTGGCCCTTGGTGGTCATTTGCTCAAGATTTGTGTGACATTTCTTATAGATCGTCACTCTTCTCTTTTGAAACTCTGAGACAATGTTGAAGAGCAATGTTTGGTACAATGCCTAGAAGTGGCCCAGGGCCGATTGCACGCTCAACAGGTGCTCATGTGTCATTCTTGAAAGACCAAGTCAACATTGAAAATGTGACTCTTGACAAATTCTTTCAGTTTTGGGACAAAAAAATGCATTACCAGGAAACTTTCTCCCAGGACTTACATTTTCCATGTCTTCCTCCTTCTCGTACGACACCCCAAACCGCGGCACCACGTCCTGTGTCAGGCTGTTGTGGTGCTTCAGCTTGGGGACTGTCTTGACTTTTCCCACCTCATTGCTCCGTCGCATCGCTGCAGTCGTTGTTAGGCCCTTGCTGTCGACCCTGGAGGGGGCGTTCTTGGGGATGGGGGAGGGGGAGGGAGCATCTCGCAATTGCTGGACTGGCAGGTCGATGTCTGGGTTCTTGTCTGAAAAAAAGGTGAGAGGAAATGTGGGCTTTTCTAAGGACTTGCAGAGCGGTCTTAAGTCAAAGTTAAGTTGGCATGTCAATAAACACTGATTGTTTCATTCTTACAAACAAGATAACAATTTTGCACTAATTTTTCAGACTTAAAGATTTAAGGTTGTTGTAGTTAGCAGCATAATTTTCAAAAATAAAACACAACCTCCCCTGCCATTTTTTCCCACTGCTTAAATGGTGATGGTGTTTTAATGGTGATCGAATTATTTGTGAGTTGTTAAAGACGTATTGTCCATGCCTTTGGGGTATGGCACCTTGAAAAATAGATTTTTAAATTGAATTGATAAATTTCTAGGACTGCCTTTCTTGTGAGCTTTCCATTGAGTCATCACCCAAAAAAATCAGTGCATGAGAAATTATTTGAATTTTTAAAATACGAATGTCCACTCCTAATTCAAATTACAGGGCAGACAGGATCAAGTGTGTTTGCCATTGTAGCTGCAACATAATGATTTCAACTCTGCACACGTACATGTACATACATGTACGGCATACAAGGCCTGTACGTACTGATACATGATGACGTATGGTTTTGCAGTCGTCTACGAAGAACGGACAGAAACAGAGCCAAGCACTTGGACATGTTCAAGATCAAAGGTGGATCAGCCTGAAGGATTAAAAGCTTTTCATGCAGCATGATGACATCATGAAATAATGCCCAGTTTCCGGAGAGCCCCTTCTGTGAAAATCCAACGGAATCTGGAGATACTGACTCATTTCAAGCTTGAAAGTCCTCTATATTTACTTTGCTGTGAAGTGATTATTTTTCTGTGTTTTATTCATAGCCTAGAGTGCAAGGAACAGAGCCAGATTGCATCTAGAATGCACGACACCAGCATGCATGCTTGAACTTAGGCCTCAAATAGAATATAGCTTGGCTACCACATCACTTCTATGAATTTTAAAGAAATAGGCTGAAAATTTTCTGTATCAGAGCGCAGCATCATGGCACTGTCTGAAACAACTTTTGAAAACTGTAAATATTCAAACTGATTCATTTACAGTAGAGGACATTACAAACCTTCAAAATCCATTCAGAAAAAAAAAATCAAAATTTTGAAAGAGCATGGACAAAAGAACTTCATGGAAGGATTCCAAAAATTACAAATATTTTGAGAAAACACGCACTTACACCGTAAGAGGTGTCATGAAAAATGTGGTGCCAAAAATGCAAACAGAAACCCATCACAAAATTTGATGATGCAAAATCAAATCTTTAGTCGGACTACTGATGTAACTAGCTTAGGGTAAATGACCCCATACAGAGAAGCACTTGTGCGCAGATCTTTCCAACAACCGGTATGTTTTTCTTAATTGAAGAGTTCTTTCAATATTTGATAGAGGGAAACATTTCAGGAGACAGTGTGCGAGGGAGGGATGCTACTTACCAATATATGTGCTTAGTAGGAACTCTGATACTTGGTTGCCTGATTTACTCGTCTCTGAGAATGCTGATAACTCTCTCCCAAGCATACGTCTGAACTGCATAATAGAGAATTGAGTAAAGGAACAACACTCAATACAAAGGCGCTCGGTTGCTTAATCAGTAACTGATGAGACATATGCTATCGGTATACTGGATAAAATCTCCATTCTTGAACATATTCGTTGGCACATTGTTTCAAAAGGGTGATAGGGTATGCATGCAAACTGCCAGATTGTGTAGTTTTACAACGGGTAAATAAGACTGAGGGACCAGTTCTGCAGAGTGAAGGAAAAGACAATCTTAAGGCCGGTTAATACTTCAGGTGAGTGCAAAAGCGAAATGAATTTGACGCCACGAAATGTTTGCTACGGAATTTTGCTCAAGTTGTTCAACTTTGCGAAATGCGAATATTTGAGCTGACATTACGTATTTGCGTTCGTTTTTGCTTTCGCTTGAAGTATGAAAGATCATGAACTAAAAAGGTAAAGAAAAACAATTCTGTGCCTTTCCTCCTAAATACACAGGCCTGCCATGAATCACGTATACAATGTGCCTTTGCACGTACATGTGCGGCCCGGAGCACATTTATCACACATTTCGATGTACTGTGTAATTTGGTTGAAAATTTCAGAACGCCTGTATTGACACTCTCTTACCGAATTTACAGCTGTGGGACTTTGTCACATAAATCTGCACTTAGCCATGCTGACATACACATAATCTGATAGGTAATGACTTGCTGCACCTCGGGAGACCTTGTTTGCTCAAGATAATGTTGCAAAGCCAAGTTGAGAAAAATACTTGAACTTTCTGATAAATTGCTGAACTGTTTCAAAGTCCAAGATACTCTACCCCCCTGTGAGCTACTGTGTAGCTTTCAGCCCACATGCATACACGCACTGTGCATCAAGCAATGCAACTAATGGATTGACCATCGCCACATCTACCCCTCTCCTCCCCAAAAACAAGACCTCAGTTACGTTGCTCCAAAACACACCTACGTCTGCTATCAGGCTGACAATTTTTTTTTTTAGTCCAATGTATCGGTTTTCAAGCAGGGAGAAAGGCAACAGAAGACAGGGAAACCCGAGGGCATTTTGTCTGGGCAGGCTGAATCTGATCGCTGCCTTCCTTAGAAAAAAAAATTCCCAGATTACTCGTGAGAGGATTGTGGATTTAGGTCTTCACCTGCACTAAAAGAATTTCAGCGCAGAACCGTTCATATTCAGGTTGATCCCATATGCAAAACTTACTGTGCAATAAAATCAAATTATGGATATGACAACTGAATATCAGCTTGCGTTTTATAATGCAATTGTAAATTTTATCATCATAATGTGATTTCTAAAGTCCATGTGAGATGGTCAAAGAGTTGTCTACAAAGCTAGAAAAAAATGAAAAGATGACTATCATTAACTCAAAAGGTAAAAACTGAAAAAAGTTCAAGGGGTCACTTGATGTATCGACAGAGAAACTTGACATCGTAAATGTGTATGTGAACCTGATGCAGCTGTGAGGTAACACTACGTGTATCACCGAGACTGTAAACTGACACTAAAATCACCAAAGAGGAAAAACCTGAAAAACTCTGCTCATAGATTGAGAAATGATGGCAGTCTTACTTTACTTGTAGCCAGGTCACTGACTGAGCGATGGGTCTGCATTGATTCCAGCTGCTCCAGACACCAGTCCAGCTCTTCCATGGTTTCCAATGCCAGCTTCCCATAGTTCTCGTCTTTTTGAGCGAAAAAAAAAGGAAAAAAAAGGAGACATGAATAAGGATCAACAATTTCTCTAAATACAACAGTTGGTTGATGTGCGAGGGAGAGAGAAAGCATCTTTAAGGATGCCACTTACCAACATTGGGCGGGTTGGGCTTAATTTGGTGTAACTTGTCCTTCGGCGATTGCCTGCTGGGTCAAAAGCAAAACAAAACAAAACACAACACATGGTAAGCCTGTGATTTAATAAACTTAACTATGAAATAACAAGCTTTGGCCTTGAGATGTATAAATCACTATTTGAAAATATTGCAGCATACTTTGGTTTACATTGGAGAGGTTATTTCATGCACTAACAGCACTCAGGACTTTGAACACAAGGGAAAGCTGAGCACCGCTTCAAGTGTCACATATGTGGAAACCAGTGGTGAGGTAACACCTCCGGCGAAATATTTCACCACTTCCCGTGCCAAAAGGGTCTGGCAGTTGGGAAATATGATGAAGAAATGCACTTTCACACTTTAAGAAAGCCACCCTCCTTCCCAATTATGGGCATAAGTGGAAGGGGAGCAGTATCACATAACCCACCCAAGTCAATCACATAAATGGACAGGGCACTATCACATAACACATCCAGGCATGCACAGTGGAGAAAATGCAAGTGATAAATGTCAGAACCAATATGATGACGTTTGCAGAATTGCCAAAATGCCAGTCCCAGGTCATGTTCTAAATTATCTACCTTAACATAAACACCACCTCATCTACACATCCTTACTTTAAATGAAAAACAAAGACCACCACTTCATTGTGATAATTTTGATAAGTTTTAAATTAAATGCACGTGTTCAGTTCTTTCAGGTTCATTGGGAGTATCGGCAGAAAGTACACGTACATGTACCGTTACCCTAGCTCATTGAGCTTTCTAAAGGAAAAAAGACCATTTTCTGATTGTCTTGTCTAATTAATTTCCAACAATTTAAGACCTAAACAATTACAATGCAGTTAATAATAAAAACTTCCATCTTTATTTCATAGGTGCTTGAACTAAAAGAAATAGTTGTCATCTAAGAAGCCAATTTTCTTGTTCATGGAGAGTAATGCTGAATACACTAGAAACACAGAGACCTGAAAATTCTGCATTATGAAACAGTACGCCCACACAGTACCGCAAGCCAGGTGCACAATCAAAACAAAAAAAAATTGCGTATGTTACATCAGCGACACCTTCTGGCATCTCTCCCCTGCTCATGTATTAGTAGATCACAGTTTTTTTTTGTAAACATGCAGACTTCAGACCAGCGGCATGCATGAAACCCTGGCCATTTGAGGAAACTTGGGATTTGGTTTTCGGTGATATGCGAGCAGACTGTGGAATGAAGGGTATTAAAGTCTTTTGTACAAAGCCAACAAGCTCTCAGAACGTGTAATCTTTTTATTTGGGGGGAGGAGTAGGAAGACGACAAAAATAACTTTGTTCAGAGAAGGCCACAAAACAAATATTGATTTTTCTGCAAAACAATCCACTTAGCAAGGGACTTCCTAATGTGATCTAAACAGATTCTGTTCACTCCCTGTGTTTCCTTCAATCACCTGCTGACCACCTAGCCAAATCTACTTTATAGTGAACCTGTCGAATTGGCTTTGGTTGGTGTTTTGCTAAGGAAAATAGCATTTTAAAAAAGGTTGCAGCACTAGAGGAAATGTGATGTGAAAAGCTATGTGCATTAATGAGTAAAGCTGACAATGGACGGCTATGGTTCTTCCAGCCAGCGATTTCCCAGTGGGTTGATAATGGACAACCAGGGCGATCTTCTTTTCCTGTGGGGTATGCTTTAGTATGTGTCAGCTTGGTGGATAATTGGGGTCAGCAAAATTGCAGTCAAGGTGCTGCTCTTGATGTTAATGATGCTATCTTCTAGGCTGCAGTCTGAATAGTAGTATTCACTGTAAAAAAGCATCCAGGTTGTTGAATTCATAAAGGTTTTTTTTGGTACTTTGTGCAAAATAAGCTCCTCGTTTCTCTCAAACCCAGCTTATTTCGGAACCCTAACCCTGTTAGAACCTTCAAAATACACCAAGGCTTCTTGGATTATCTTATAGAGGGCTAAGAATCCAGCAAAACCATGGTTGCTTCTCACAAGACTTGTGGCCCTTGAAAGTGCCACATGCAAGTAGATGGATTTCGGAGGAGTGATGGATCCGATTCTAAAAAAAAATGCCGTGTGTGGAGTTAAAGGTCAATTCAATTAAAGGTCAATTGGTCAAACCCACTGCCTGAGCATTAAAGGTGAAAAATAAGCCAGTATAAAAAGGCGCTGTGAAAATATGACCCAAAGGGGTAAACTGTGTCTGTGTGTATAAAACTGATCGCCACAGATACTCTGTTTTTTAGTGCGCAAAATTGAATTTTCATTTCTGCCATGAGAACTGAACCAAAGCAAAGACCGTATTAACAGGTAACTGCTCAAGAAATTCCCCAAATTGCTTCTCCAAGATTATAACAGTAACTGGTGGCAGCTGTCAAAATGTACCTCAAAATAACACTGCTTCACACTCCGGTATGTTCTAAATTCCTGACACTACACTGTATTTGTGGTTCTCTGTACAAAGCCACGGTGAGTTGAGAGGCCCCAATACCCATGCCTTGCTGTGGTCCCAGGAGTCATTAAGACTTCCCTGGATCCCCAATCAACAGAATATCAAATGTTGAAAGGTCTGCAGATGGACACAGACTCACAGATAATGTGCACTACATGTATGATTTGCCAAATGCCTCAGCTTCTACAGGTATCTGATAACCTGGAGGGCAGGAACGCCAACGTATGTTTACACCCTCGCAACACTTTACATGGACATATGCACGCATTAGAATATGAAACTGAGAACATATATGTACATGTTTGTAACGGTACAAATGGACTCACTGTGGAGTTTAGAATTAGATTTTCAAAATGTTAGATATATTGTTCAATTCTGGGACCAATAGCTTTGAATGGACAATGTGATAATTACTCCACTACAAATCAAGCTGTAATTACTGACTTGTATACAACACCTACATCATCATTTAATAATTTGTTCCTCAAAGCTGGACGATTGTTTCACTTTCTGACCAATGAAGTGACAACAATCCAAGACAAGATGTACATGTACATGCACGTATGCTTATATCAAATGTTCTGTGGTATGGTAGACCTACACGTGTCATATAAGTTGCGGCTACAAATAACATGGATGCCTATGGGAGCTGCCGCAGCCGCAACAGATGTGTGTTTGTAACAATCAGACTCAACCTTACAACCCTAATCAGACCAGAATTGTTAGACCCTCCAAATTTCCCCAAATCCAAAAGTTGTCAACATCTCTGCTTGAAGATTAAATTCTGTGGGACAGCAAAGTCTATGTTAAGTTTTACGGGAAAATGACCCGGGCCCTGTCACAGCATATTGATGGCAAGGAGTGCTTGAAGCTTACCTGCTAAAATTGGATGGTAACCCTGTGAGCGAGGCGTAGTTCTTACGAATACTCCGCAAACTGGCAAGAATTTGAGCAAATGGTGTGACGATCACGTCCTCTGCATTGTGACTGGGCAAACGAGATGAAAAGAGGAAGCATTATTGGAGAAGCAGTAATTAAGCATTAATTACAAAATCTGTTAGTCAAAGAGACATGTGGATTGAAAATGGTATCTTGCACAAGCAATTTGCTTTTTCAACAGGGAAAACAGCAACGGTTCTTTGCTGCATGTTCTTAATGTCATCAGCATGTAGAAAAAATAAAAGAATCCTGATGACTTTCGAACCCACATCAAGATAAACCACACCGCATAGTATTTCTTTCAATGTCCGATGAACACTGAGAAAAAAGAAAGTCACCTGAATTTTTGCTTAACACAACAAAGCTCCAGCACGCAGCATTTACTCTACTCAGTCACACAGAAAACACTGCCGGCACTACTGTTTGGAAAACAAACATACTCCAACGAGTAATAACCTTTCCCGACTATGCTTCCAAAGGCAAATTATGTCAGGCGTGGTTGACTTCCTGCTAATGCAGAATTGAAGAGAACTGATTCCTAACTCGGAATAGGAAACAGGGCACATGACCCTACTTCATTGATGAAGCAAAAGTCTGCATTGTCGCTGATTTCCAGTTTCCCTGATATTGGAATGCAGGCTGAGAATGACAATTCTGAATACAGACAGAATCAGCCAATGGTTCACTCAACAAGATACAATACAGCCTTTGATTTCGGCTGGTGGTACCATCACAAAGTGATGTGTTTTTTACTTGTCTTGTGACTTCAGAGTGAACTTCGGAGAGAAATAAATATGCACTTTTGATAATGAATGACCTAGTTCTAGCAATTTATTAAACTTCAGTGGCACACGGGGGGGAGATAGGGAGGCTTAAGCCCCCTCCCCAGGATGTCAATTTTTTTTTACTTTCTGAAAACAAAAAACACACAATATACACATTTACCTTGAACTACTAGCTCTGATATAGCCGCACATCCTAGCCCCCCGGGGGGGGGGGGAGAGACCTCAAGCATTAAAAGCTATTCTGGGGATAAATCCCAGTCTGAGCCCCTTCCCCCACAATAAATTCTGGGTTCCTCACTCTAACAGTGGACGTTTTAATTGAATGTTAAAACTATGTTCGTTTTGACATTTAGACACTTAATGCCAATTCTGAAAAGAAATTGTGACGCCTTGCAAGAAGCCGTTTCAATTTTAATAAATGCTGGGGCCATCTGTAGTAGTAAACCGTGTAGGTTACTCTCTGCTTGAGATGCTATTTATACAAACAAAAAACAAAACAAAAAACCCACAGTTCAGACGTGCAACTTGTTTCATTTTGAAGACAAATGGGGGCTGCACAATATACATGTACATTCACTCACCAGTCACTTGTGATGGATGAATTCCTGGACATTGATTTTGGTGACAGGTCAAAATCGCTGTCCGATCTGTACAGGAAGGACTCTCTTCTCTGAGGCAGGTTGGCCGAGAGAATGAGTCCCGAGGAAGGGCTGGCGGCATCGATGCCTGGACTGCGGCTTGGTGAGGCGCCATTCTCAACATCAAAGCTGTGTGAATGACCACAAGAACAAACGGAAATAACACCAGAGCCAAGACAAGTAAAGACTGGGTGTCAACCTCCAAGCCACACTGGTGTACAAACCAGTGAATCACTGTGGTCTGAGGGTGTTAAATGTTAAAATAAAACCATTTCATTGAAAATTTCTACAATGGTGCTTCCTGTAGTTTGTCACTTGCTTTTTGGGTTTAAAGTTGCTGCTATAATGAAGTTGATATTTGTGGACATAGTACCCATATAATGATAAGTGGAGTGCATGGAAGAGGGTTACACCTGCAAAGCAATTTTACAACTGATCATGAAAACCGATCAAGTTATATCATTTTACAATGATCCCAGTGTACAGGATTACTTTATTTTAAAAAAAACCAACAACTGTGGAATGTTTTGGTAAAAGCCCCTGACTATAAATATCACATGTAATGGATGGATTTAACCACAAGGACATTTTCTAAAAGTGCTTGTAACACTTCCAGAAGTCTTTCGAAAATTGCTTCTGGTTAAAACTTGATTAGAGCACACATGACTAAGGAATTCACTTCAGGCCAGTCAATTTTGAAAAGAGAATAAGTGATTCCACATTGTATAATATTCAATATACAGCTTCAACTTACAGAGACAGTTATAGAAGAAAGGATGTTCAAATATTTAAGTTTTCATCAGGGGCCTCAAACAACTGTCTACGCACCACCTCCTACACGATTATGATGCACATAATCCTTTCTTTGCAAAAAGTGGAGGTTCTTATCAAACATGATCAAAAAGTGCAATGGTTGTCCGGCTCTGCTGTCATGAATCTTTATTTGAAGTCTGAAAAAAAGTACGAGTCAACCCGTGACGTTTCCTTCTATGATTACATGACATGACTCTAAAATGAGCCAATTGCCACAAACTAAACACATCAGGCAGATGTGCCCATTAAAAAAAAAAATGGCAATGAACAGGATAAACATTATACTTGTACATGAATCTAAAGGAAACAGACCATACAAAAATCAATCACGCCAGTTCCAATTTCCAAGGAAATATACATTTCACACATAAGTGTAGCTACATTAGCTGCAGTTGTTAACAATCAATCAAAACTTGCAGTTTCGGAAACCGTAATATACCTGGCACTTGCTCCATCATTTATGACACTGACTGAACAACCTGTCAAACATGGGCCCTTTCAACACTGTAGTACACAAAGGTATGATCTAAGTAATGTGCGAAGAGCAGTTCCGTAATGAGAGGTGGGGGAAAGGGGTCGGTCAGTTACACGGGTGGTGTGCACCCCCCTGCCTCTCAGGTCCATCAATCAGGAATTACAGGTGGGAACCTCTGCAAAGAAAGGGGGGGGCGGCTTATAGTTCTACCGTCACGAAAGTGAAGTACTTTAGTACTTCCTCCTGGATAAATGAAGAAAACCATTGCAGATATATGTGCAGCCTGACCACCTATTTAAAAGCTGTACACCTAAGTGGAATAACTAAGAGTTTGACGTACAGGTGTTTCCCATGGCCATTCACTGACATCAGGGGTAAAGAGAATAATCAGAGGGTCACAAATTCTGGTGATTAATTGACTGAACACCATACGCATAACCTATTCTACATGTGAATTGGCATGCAGGCTTACAACTGCAGTGAAACATTATTCTTGTTGGCAATCAAACTGAATGGAAGTACAGTTTCCATTCATGCCAACTGGATACAGGAAATTTCATTCAAAAGCAGACTACTGCCCTCTAAGAGTCTGTTACTTCAAATCTTACAGCATATGGCCAACACACTGTACAGGCTACCTTGAGTGACCCATTCTGGGGAAATGAGTCATTAGGCAATTTTTTCAGTAACTTTTTCAGTTAGCATTTAAAAAGAGCGAACAAAGCAGGTATTACTCATTTTGGTATCCTCACCAAAAGGGACATTGCTGTGGCTGAAGATGTTAAGGGTTCCTATTGATTTCTATAGTCAAAGCCTCTTGGAAAGCCCTGGAACTAAAAGTAGCCCTGGTGACTTGTGACTCGCTTTCGCCAAACACAAAATGTACATGTACATGCATGGGTTCCATGAGTGAACAGGAAAAAAGCACATATTTATAGAGCACACAAGCGCTTTCAGTCTGGTTTTCCTGGACTGTTCGGTAGTTAGTTTCATTCCTGCACTGAAAATTGCCTTTAACAGCATAAATCAATCTGATTCCACACTGACTCAAAGGAGAAAGGAGCATCAACAATTACACAACTAACCCGAACTGCAGGTTTCGGTCACGGCTCAGCTGACGATAGAACTTCAGCTTGACATTGGACGACCCCGACATGCTTAAAATTAATACAACCTTACAGGTTTAGGTGGCTGCACAAATCAAAGACGTATTGTACATGTAGTTGTGCTATATACAATGTACATGTACATGCACATACATGTACACTACTCCAAGCATCCGTCTCAAATTCCACAGCAACACTGACCTAGTGTAGGCATGGTGCAGTGATGGAACAGGCAAAGCCAGGGTCCTTGCTGCCCCAAGTGTTACAGGTTCGGTTGCTATGGGAATGTCCCAAAGTCTAATTTATAACTCCACAACAGGTTGGCCCCACTGGTATGCATGCTGATGGGGCCACGTTCGATTGCTGTAAATCATCTACTGGGGCTGGGCTTTTATGCCTGCTTTCCTTTAATTACCACTATCAATACACAGACCCTGGGAAAAATTGATCGACTATCAGTCAGACAACAAACCAACCGATATACATGTACTTTGGCTACACTGCAGAGCGACTTTTTGTTATCTTTCATAATTTCAGGTACCGGGTATAATGTGGAAATGTCCATGTTAACTGCACAAGTTTGGACAATGTATTTCTTTGATAAAACTATCATCCTTTATAACAGTTTCCCAAGCTTTAGTTACATGTCAAACATGTCATAGGAAACTGAGAAGAGTATGAAAAGGTGTTGTTAGAAGTCACAATTCTATGTTCAGGTGGCTGTAAAGCTATTCACATCTTATCTATCTTCTGCTGTTACCAATTTTGTGGCAACATCGTTCAATTTATTTTTTTCATCATGAACCCTTCAAAAGCAATTAATATTTATAGATACCTGCAATTTTGATGACAGACAACGAAAATCAACAACAGTAATATCACTTGGTACCATATGATAATCAGTTACTTCATGCACCCTGAGAAACAAGATTTTTTTACCATATAGGCCTGTACTTGTTTATGTATTTCTAGATGGTACATATTAAGATGGCATTTAAATATTCTTAATGCAAATATGCTCTCCTAATAGCTTTGCATAATGGCTACAGACCTACTTTAAATACACAGATCTGTGTACAAAAGCTCAGATCAATTTAGACAGTACAACAGCTAGACAGTACACACACTCCTGTACCGAAGTTGTGGGGACATACACTTGGCATTTCACCTGCTTTGTGGGGACCGAAAACATTGTGGGGGACTCAGAAATGTCCCCACAACTTGGTTCAAGTGTCCCTAACAAAAGAACTTGTCCCCTGAACACGGTGAATGCCCACCCACCAGGCACTCTCCATGTACATGTACATGTACAGCTAGACAGTACACCAGGCACTCTTGATGTACAGCTATGACCTCAACCCCCTCCCCGAAAAGGTCATATCTGGACAGCAGCCAAACAGAATTATCTCTGGAGATTATTAAAACTGAGTTATCAAATAGTGGACTAGCAAATGTTGCCCTCAGATATAAAAACGTATCACAGTACAATTTCTAACTCCTTACTTGCGTGAGCGTGCTGACGCACGAATACTGGGCCTGTATGATATACATGTACACACATATGTGGGCCTCGTGGGGTTTTGCTCCAGTTTAGAGTATAGTAGCCAACCCCACTACAGACTGGCATTAATAAAAGACGTCCACCGGTAATTACTAGCATGGCTTACCCTCAAGACAAAATCCCTTTTGCTAAAAAAAAATGGATTTGAAGGAGAGGAGAGGTAACAAAGGATTTGTTTCACCTCAGATTGTAATTTTTTTTTATGACTTCAGACTTAATATATCCCATACACCTGTAAAATATTTCAGAAAACTATGTCCATCATAAAGAGCACTAGCTTGTCTACGGCAAAAAGTTGTTTGTACATGTGTGTACAGGTTCATGTGTTATAACTGCATCTGCATGTCTTATTTATCACGCGTGCAGACATTTATGTAATATCCCACTCCCAAATGTCAATTTAATTGAGAGGGCACAATTTGTTGCACTCTGTTGGTTTACCAAGTAAAAATCTTTATATCTGGACTCATATTATTATATACATGTATTCCAACAAATTCCAAAAGACCTTGATAATAAATAACAAATTCAAAGTTTCTTTAAAATGGACGGCTTCAGTTTTTAAATAATTTGAAAAATACTGAAACGAACCCTCTAGGAGAGATGCAATAATACATTGGTACTCTACGTGACAACTAAGTAAAACCAAAAGCACAGTGCAAGTAAACTGACAACCAGTGATAAGGGCAAATTCCATTAAAATAGTTCAGTTGGTAAACAGAAAGAATGGTTTCTCTGCTACGTAGATATGTGCCAAAGCAAAAAAATTCTTATCGACCCTTACATTGATTTTGAGTAGCTTTTTTCAAAGGCTTGTGTGGAAATAAGCCTGAGTGTGTTTCAATATTACACCTTTCACTGTCACTATGGATTGTTCTGACTGATATAATTTATGCCAGAACTGCTGACAGAAAAGAAAGGTACATCTGACAGACAAATCGAAGTTTCTTCCTTCTAATATGAACATGCCATTTCATTTGGTGCTCTACTGGAGCACTTCCACGGCATGCAGTTACTTAAGCACATTTGCAGGGACACAACCAAGTGTATCTGATCACTTGCCAAACATAATAGATGAAACTACATCCAATCGTTTCGCTTAATATCGACGACTTAAACTGCTCCATAGTCCAGTGGTGGATGTTTCAATTAGGAAGTATTCATTACACTTACA